TACCTAAAATTTGGTTCTTTATGTGATTTAGACCAGAATCTGAAAGCACTTTCTTATAACCACATGCTTATTTCATTTGTGCTGTGATACTGAGGACATAGTTTAATAGTGCCAAGAAGATAATTAAATCACCACTCAGTGGCAGTCTACTTTTCCATGACAATTGAAGAAAGTATTTTCCTTTCAGAAATTGGTTTGTAGGCATTAATTAATGAGACGGGTTAATTATCCACATTTTTCTTAATATTTGCTTTCCCTACAGTATCTTTGGGGCAAGGTGTTATCTGTGTATTAAAGCAGTTGCTGGAACTTTGTGTTGAAATATGCCTTTGCTGTCCTATAATTTTTTATTAATATGTTACCATACTAAATCTCATGTTTATCAGTTTATAATAGTTTTGTAGCACATTCGCAAAACAAGCTTTCCACAATTTCGTCTGCATTTAGAAGCATGTTTAAAGAGGTAAGCATTCCAGTAAAATAATATTCTAAAACATTTTATATAAACTTTTAACTATTAAATCACCTAGTATGTCTATTTAATATTAGTTTATTTATTGTTTATTTGTGCATTTCCTAATGTCAAATGTGAAAATAAATATTTAGCTTTCAATTTTCAGGCACAATGAGCCTAATATGTTGTTCAGCAGTATAATGTTAATGTGACGTGCTTAGGTTTAATTTCAAAATATTACTAAAGCATTATATTTGATAACTTTTTATTTTGATATAACTTCAGAGTTATAGAAAACTTTCCAGAATAGTAAAAGTAACTCCTGTAAGCCCCTTATTTCCTTTATTTTGGTAAATAGTAACTCCAGTAAGCTCTTTAACCACACCCCCTGGCTGTTTCCTTTTTACCCCAATTTCTGTATCATTCTGTCCATCTGTCTGCATATGTTTTTGTGAACTGTTTGAAAGTAGGATGCAGCATCATTCCTTTACTCCTAAATACCTTAAGTATGTAGTTACTAAGACCAAGGACATTCTCTTATATTATAGCACAGTTTCCAAAATCAGGAAGTTTATTATTGGTACCATACTATCTAATCCTAAAGTTGCAACAGACAAACATGAGGAGCCTTTCTTGATATGAATCACTGAGAAGGATCTGTGAAGTCCCTGTCAAAAATACAGAATCCAGCTCAAATCAACGAGGATGATCAGACAAAGCCAACTTGATAGGCATCATAAAATAACCTGTACTCTTTGAAAATGTCGAGGTTGAGAAAATACTAATTTTTGGTGCTCAGATAGTCTGGTTTGGACAGTGGGCACTGCTTTAGTCTGCCCCTGTGGCCTTTTGACACATAATTCCTTACTGGCACAGCAGAATCTTTCAGACTTATCTTGTCCTAGCCCTGCCTCAGCCCTGCAGTCAGGCATTTCTCCAAGGACTCTGGTTACTTTTATTGAATAATGGTATGTGGGAGTTAGATATGCTCACCACTACTGTCATATTATTGCTTGTAGCCTCTCTCAATGTACAAAGCTAGAAAATACACACTTGCACACACACACAAATCTACCAAATGTATACATCTGTTTATCACATGTTATACTAAAAACTGAGTTCATATATCTTCTTTTATGAAGAGTCTCCTCAAATCTTTTGCTCACTAAGAAAAATTGGGTTGCTTCCTTTGCTATCACATTGCAAAAGTGCTTTATATTTTGTTTGTATAAAGTCCTTTATCATTTGTATCTATTGTGAATATTTCCTTCTAGACAGTAGTTGCCTATTTATTTTCTCTTGATAAGCAGAAAATTTAATTTGGGTGAAGTCAGAAAATGTAGTAGTTTTCATTGTACAGTTACTGTTTGTCGTATTGAACACAAGTCTACCTACACCCAGGTAATGGAGATACTCTCTTGTGTTATCTTCTTTATAGTTTACAAATACAGTTTTTAATGAGCCATTTTGAAATAATTTTTGTAAGTGATGTGAGGTTGCAGTTAACGTCTCCTTTTTTTTTTTTTTTTTTCCTATGTAGTTATCCAGTTATTTCAACATCTTTTAAAATACTTTCCTTTCCCAGTGAATTACTTTGGTGCCTTTGTCAAAACTCATATATCATGTGTGTTTGTTTCTGGATTCTATTCTATTTCATTCGTCCATTAGTTTATCCTAATGTCAAGAACACTGTCTTGATTACTGTAGATTTGTAATAAGTCTTGAAGTCATATACTGTAAGTGTTAAAACATTTTTCCTCCTCCTAAAATTGTTTTGGCTCTTCTAGATCCTTTGAATATCTACTGAAATTTTAGAGTGACTGTGACAATATCTCTACCTAAGCTTGCATGAATTTATAGATCACTTTGGGGAGAATCAATATTTTAACAACATTGAGTTCTCTGAGCCATGATCATGATATAGATCTTCACCTATTTAGGTCTTTATTTTCTCTCTGCAATATGTTTTAGTTTTTAATGTAAATGTCTTGTACATTTCTCTTATTAAGTGTATTTTTAGGTATTTTATAACGGTATTTTCTTTTCTTTTCTTCTTTTTTTTTTGAGACAGAGTCTGGCTCTGTCACCAGGCACCAGGCTGGAGTGCAGTGGAGCAATCTTGGCTCACTGCAACCTCTGCCTTCCGGGTTCAAGCAGTTATCCTGACTCAGCCTCTCCAGTAGCTGGGACTACAGGCACGCACCACCACACCCAGCTAATTTTTGTATGTTTTAGTACAGACAGGGTTTCGCCATGTTGGCCAGGTTGGTCTCGATCTCTTGACCTAGTGATCTGCCCACCTCAGCCTCTCAAAATGCTGGGATTACAGGCGTGAGCCACGGCGCCCGGCCTATAATGATATTTTCAAAATGAATTTTAAAAATTTTCTAATCATTTAAATAACTGATTTTTATATATTGACCATGAATTCCAAGACTTTGCTAAATTCATATATTAGTGCTATTAGTTGCTTAGTAGATGTCTTAGGATTTTCTGTATAAGCAATCATGGCATCTACATGATTGCTTATTACATGATGTTTGCTTCTTCCTTTGTCATCTTTCTGCTTTTTATTTCTTTAATTCACCCTATTGCACCGCCAGAACCTCTAGGACAGTGTTGAATAGACAAGGAAAGAGAGACATCTTTTCTATGTTTCTGGTCTAAAGGGGCAAAGCATTCTGCATTTAATGGATGATCACCTAACATCTATTCCCACTCAAATACTTCTTTATTAGATTGAGGAGATGCTCTCTAGTCTTAGTTTGTTGAGGGTTTTTAATCATGAATAGTTTTTAATCATGAATTTTGTCAAAGGCTTCTTTGACATCTATTTAGAGTAATATATAGTTTTTTCTTTTAATATGGTAATTCACAGTGATTGATGTTTGAAAAACTGCGCTTGCTTTCTTGGAATAAATTCTACTTGATCATGATGTCTTCCTCTTTTGCTTTCTGATATAATTCATATAGGCTTGATACTTCTTCCTTAAGTGTTTTATGGAAATCCATCTGTGAAGCCGTCTAAGTTTGAGTTTTCTTTGTAGGAAAGTTTTGATGATGAATTCAATTTATTCAATATTTATGAAGATATTGAGATTTTGTATTTCATCTTGTTTAGTTTTGGTAACTTGTCTTTCAAGGAATTTATTTCATCTAAGTTGTAAAATTTATTAGCATGAAGCCGTTCATCTTTCTTTATTACTGTTTAAATGTCTTTAGTATCTATGGTTATTTCCTCTTTCATTACTGAAATTGATAATTTCTGTTACATTTCTAGAGAGTTTTTTGAGACATAAATTTATTAATTATTGGTGAAGAACTTTTGGCTTTAATTTTTTTTCAAATTCTTTTTACTTGTTAGTTTCTACTGTTTTTTTCTAAAGGTAGAAACATAGATTCTTAATTTTAAACATTTTTTTCTCTAATGTAAGATTTTAAGGCACTGCTTTGGTAGCATTCCATAAATTTTGATGTATATTTCTTATCATTTCAAAATATTTTCTTTCCGTCTTAATTTCTACTTTGAATGTGGGTTATTTAGAAGCATATTAATTTCCAAATACTTAGATACTTTTCTGGATATTGTATTGCTATTGCTAACTTAATTCCTTTGTAGTCCTTGGAATTTCGGTCTTTGGAATTGCCTGTGACTTATTTTATGGCCCAGCATATGGTCTATCTTGGTGAACATTCCATATTTTTTGTTGTTGTTACTTTTAATCTAGTTGTTATTAATATTAAAAGGGAATATTAAAATCTCAAACCATTATTATATATTTATCTCTCCCTATCAGTCAATCAGTTTTTGTTTAATGTGTTTTGAAGCTCTTTTATTCAGTGCATACAGTTTTAATTGTTACGTCTTTCTGATGAATTTGTCCTTTCATCTTTATAAACTCTCCCACCAAATTGCTTTGTGTTGATTTGGGCATGTTAAAAAAGAGTTACTATATTTTATAAATACAAAAGTAAAGTGAAATTCAAACACCTACAGGAGTGTAAATATGTTTTCAATGTTACAAGTATAGTTAATCAGAATGTCTCCCTTAAGCCCTGAGCACAGAACAGTAGAACAGTTCCTAGTATCAATTTAGAATTCAGCAGAGGTAGTCACAGAACTACATAGTGACATTCATTTCTCTCTGCCCTTGTGCTGAAAGTTTCTAGAACCCAGGGCTTAGCTCTCTATTATTCTTATGTCTTTCTCACAATACTCACCGGAGTGTCCTACTAAAGGGGGTCAGAAAACGATACCCTAAAATATGGTGCGTTGATGTTCTGAGCTAAGGAAGCAGCCTCAAGATCTCTCCCCACCCTCCTTCTGTCTCTCCCAAAGCACAGGATGAGGCTGTTTTTCTGAACATATTACTAAACATAATGTTCAGTAGATGTTGGCTGATTCGCTAAATGACCCCTAAAAAATGCAAAACTCTATGTTTAAGAATGCTTTTTATATTTTGCCACTGACTGTCTAGCGTTCTTATATTTTTAGTCAATGCTCATCTCAGCTGGTACTAATCCTTTTTTCTTTCTCTTTTAACAGATTACTTCTGTAACAGGCTCACCAGTTTGTTCCACAAAGCACAATGTCTCGATCACGACAACCCCCACTTGTGACCGGCATCTCTCCAAATGAAGGGATACCATGGACAAAGGTCACAATCCGGGGAGAAAACCTGGGGACTGGCCCCACTGACCTTATAGGTAAGGGCAGTGGCCCTGCGACACACCCTGATAATTGCATTTTTATGTGGACAATGGAGACAAGATATGTAATTTTCTAATAGTGAAAGTGATAGAACAAACATCGTTGTGGTCTCTAAGGAGTGCTCCAAAAAGATGAAAGAATTATCTCTGGCTTTCTGATTTTTGTGTGAAAATCATTATTTTGTCAAATCTTGGCTATATTGTTTTTCAAGTCCTTCAGAACATTTCCCAGGGCAGAGATTTGCCCCCAAATTTTCCTCAGCTTTGATGCCTTGATTGCCAAAAGAGCCGTTCTTATATTGTTGCTCCCATTAGTTTTTCTTCCCTTGTCTGGCTTGTCTGTTGCTTCTCAAGTGCTCTGTGAATGATGCCTTTTCTGTTCCTTGTTGCTCCTAAAAGCAAGTCTCAGCCCCATCTTCTGGTGATAGGGGCAGCAGTTGGATCTCTCTTCACTCCATCTAGCAGGCACGTGTCCTTATCGTGATCTGTGGATCCTATCTGGAGCAAGCCAAAGTTTAGTTTTTAGAGTCAGTTTATGTTTTTTATCTTTTCTAGCAGAGTTGAAGCTCAATGAATGGTTAGAACACCACACATCCAGTTGGTGTGGTGCAAATATTTTTGGATGCTGGCTTGCATGGCGCATTTTCCCCTTCCCCTTTCTGTGATGTGGAAGCCTTTACTGCTTGCTTGGTCTTGAAGCACTTGGGTCTGTCAGTGCTTCTCAGCCCAGGCTTTTCTGAATCTCTCTAGAACTTTAAAGGTGAACTATTTGGCCTACTAAGTTTCAGTCTCTAAAGATGGAGCCTAAACATTGTTTCTTAAAATATACATGGGTATTAGGGGCAGCCAGGGCAGAGAGTGAGTTTTAAATATAATTTTATGGGCAGTTATGATTACTTGTCTGTGAACTGCTCAGGTGGGTATACAGATGCATTCAGAATGAGCAGAGTCCCCACTGTGTGCTACCGAATGTATTTTATGGCGTCCCATATAAATTTCTTCTGGACTCAGACATTTTCTTGACTCATTTCTGTACTGATGACGGAATTGTTGGTAAGGTACTTGAAATCACAAGTTGGAACTTGCTTTTCCTGCATTATGACTACTGGTTGATAGATTGGTTTTTGGCCATTCAGAAAATGCTTTAAAAAGAAAAAGTGAATGGGAGCTAGTACTCTGTTTAGTAACTGAGTTTTGCACTGCCTAGCCAATTCTTTCTGCTACCCTTATGTCTCATGTGATACTGTTTTCTCTAACTGTAGTTTTACATTGTTTAGTAAACATCACTTCAATTTATTCCGGCAAAAATAGTCTTATCTAATCTTATGTCTTGGTTTTTGATAAAGCTCATTCCACATGTTTCTTTAGCTAAGTGGGAAAATCACCAGAATGCATGACAATCTACCTATACAGGTAGAGGTTCTGTCCAGAATTTCACTGGCAGTCATTGTGAGCTCCCAAACATGACAGTTAGTAGTCTAGGTAAATTTTAATCTTGTTTTAGCTTCAGGCAACGCTATTCTTATTTGATTAAGTGTGTATTACTTTTCTAAACCATGCTAGTTCAGCTTTCAGCCTGCCTTATGTATTGCCAAGAAACCATTTTTTAAAAAAGCAAACTTAACCTGCTAAATAATGTAAGTGTTTTTAACTCAGATGATATCTACACTAGCCAAGCAAAACACTATAAAAAGTACTTTACTTGGAATCTATGAGTTTCTTTTTTTTTCCTTAAAAAAATGTGCTATTATGTTTCATGAAGCAGATTTCTTAGCATAACTTAGCAAAACTGTGCTTAAGAAATAGATCTTATGATCTTTTTTCTTTTCATAACATTTAAAATGATCTATTTGAATCTGTGTTTAAACTATTTGCCAATTATTCATTTTCTTGGAGTAAAAATGTGTTACAGATATTAAATCAGAGGAATCTTGAAAGCAGCTATGATCCAATGAATAAACTAATGTTCTAGGGGCAGTTTTGTGCCAACATGTGCCTTCATGCATGTCATTCAGGTTTGCTCATATGAACATGGTTTTAATACTTTGTATCTGAAATTTGCTCTTATTTTTTAGTTTTAATCATAAGATAGTTCTCTAGCAAGGAACTTATATTAGGGATGGCTTTCTTCTTTTAATGAAAATACTATTTGTATTTTTACACTGCTCCCTGACATTAATTACTGAGTTATTCTTCATTCTGAAGTGAGTTAATATTTAAAATCACAAAAATCTGGTATCAAAATACTTACAAATATTAGGTAGTCTCTTGACCTGGAGTGATACCAAAATATCTACTGTCGATAATTACGCAGGTTATGAATTAAAACATTTGTTTAAAAACATATAGACTGGTTTATAGATGCACAAAATTACTTGAGCAAGTGAACATTGACATATTAGCAGTATTTCTCTTGTGAGGTGGGATTTGGAGAGGCTTTCAGTCTCTTAACTTTTTCACAACAAAAATTATTAGAAAAGATATCAAAAACATGCCTGTTTTGAAAAAAATTTTTGAATAATGAATACATTTAAAAGTGTGTTATTATAATTAAAGCATACCAATAGAAACTGTAGTCCCAAAGAAACATTTTAATGCCATTATTAGACAAAGTTGCAGACATTAGTTGATTATCGGTATTTTACGGAAACCCCTAAAATTCATTATTTCAAGCAATATATCTTTAAAATGTAGTTGTTTTCATTCCTTTATGATTTAACATTCTTACTAAATAGCTTTTTAAGTTGGAACAAAAGATGATTTGACTTTGTCCCTTCATTTTAAAAGTCAGTTTGGCACTGGTTGAAGTCTTTCTGTTCTTTTGGCCCTTTCTGAAAAAGAGCCAAAAGAAAACATTGCAATTGCTAAACGTTACTGCTGAACATTACAGAAAGTTAAATAATGAGAAAAGAAAGTGTGAAGCGTCTGCCAGGCACGGTGGCTTACACCTGTAATCCCAGCACTTTGGGAGCCTGAGGCAGGCGGATCACTTGAGGCCAGGAGTTTTGAGACCATCCTGACCAACATGGCGAAACCCGTCTCTTCAAAAAACACCAAAAAAAAAAAATAATAATCTAGGCATGGTGGCGAACACCTGTGGTCCCAGCTCCTTGGAAGGCTGAGGCTGGAGAATTACTTGAACATACGAGGTGGAGGTTGCAGTGAGCCAAGATCACACCACTGCACTCCAGCCTCGGCAACTGAGCAAGACCCTGTCTTAAAAAAAAGAAAACATGAAGTGTCTGTGCCTGTGCCACAAACATTCTGGTTCTCATCTCCATACATATTAATTACATTGGTCTCTGTTTTGTGGAAATGGAAAAACTAATGAAAGTAAGTTAGAAGACTAGCTGACCAGCGTGGTGGGATGCTGGTATTCCCCCCGGGGTGTCTGCCTTTCTCCCTGCATCTTTCAGTCTCTCTCTGTTTGGTTATTACCTAAATTTTTGTTTTACATGGTATGAGGGAGGTGACATCATGAGCTGACCTTTTGGGAGTGTAGGCTTACTGAAAGAGCAGAATGTAGTATAGTGACAGTTTCATAGGAAAACACTAGGGCAGGAGGAACTACTGTGCTGGCAACCGATACACTGATGTCAAAGTGAGCTAGTAATCCAGTAATGCCTGAGCACACTCCACTAGATTACCCTACTCTAGGCTATGCTTAAATAAAAAACCTACTTTAGTTTATTCTGTAATACCATGTGTAAGTGAACACTAGAAAAATACATGAAGATTTTTTCAGGAAGATGGATGAATATTGAATGTTTTTAGAAAATGATCTATAAATTTATTAATACATTTTAAAATTCTACATTAACAACTGAGACTTCAAGTAATAGCAATAGTTTCCCTTTTATTACCTCTGAGAGCATTTTAAGATTCTCCTAGTCTAAGTAATCTGGAATGCTAGACATAGTTATTGTGGCCATTCCTTTTCTAATTCTATTGATGTTTGAAGAAACTTAAATGTAGCCTAAAAGAAGTCTTAAATATTAGAGAAAAAAACAGGTAAGAGGAAAAATCAATAGAGACAACAGTATATCTACAAATAATATGGGTATATTCAACAAAAATGTAATTATTGAACAAGAAAATTATTGCTAGATTTTAAAAATGTCATTGACATGATTAAGGTCTTCTCATTGTTCTTGTCTTTGAATTTTGTTATGCACCTGCATTTATTTTCAGGCTTGACAATTTGTGGCCATAACTGCCTCCTGACGGCAGAATGGATGTCTGCAAGTAAAATAGTATGTCGAGTGGGACAAGCCAAAAATGACAAAGGAGACATTATTGTCACCACTAAATCAGGGGGCAAAGGAACCTCAACAGTCTCCTTCAAGCTGCTCAAACCTGAGAAAATAGGTAAAGTACTTCACGGGTTTATTCTAAAAAAGAAAGTAAAAATGAGTTCATCTTTTAAGATGTAAAACTGGTAGATTTTATAAACCTACCCGCTTGCATATCTCAACTTAGATTTAGTTTACGTTTATTTTGGCAGGAATGGGGTGTTGGTTAATATTTGTATTACTTTTGGGAAGGCAGTGTGCTGAAATAACAGTCAGTGAAACCTAAGGATGACGATCATATGAGAACTATCCTCCTAAGTTCTCAAAATCTGTTCACTCACTTGATATACCAGTTTCGGTTCCTTGATCTTGAATACAATGACATTGCTTTAAAACTATTAAAGAAACAAGCTTTGAGGTGAAAAGTCCTGATTTGGCCAAATTAGTAATAATATATCTAAATAATATTCCCTTTTCCTTCATTTTGCCCATCCTTCAAGGCCCAGATGACACATTCCTGGCTTGGCTGCTTTTAGGCTCCTGCATTAGTCATGTCACTCATCTTTGAACCACACAGCACTTTATGTTTTACTTCTTTATGCACTGACCACTTGCTACCTTATGTTAGCAGTCTTAGCAATTTGGTCTGAGAAGTCATACTCTTTGAATTCTAACCTGGACTCTCTTACCCTGACTAACTAACGTTAATACCTTGTTTCTTCATGAGCAAAAGTGGAATAATATCTCCTACCTCATAGGATTGGGTGAGTTAGAACAGAAATGTAAAGTGCTCAATATAGTCACTTACCCAACAAATTAATAATTTATAATTATTTTTCTTGTAGCTATTTCTGTGCATGTCTGTTTCCTTTTTTAGAAGAAGAGTAATGTCAGATTCATCTTTGTGGTGCTGTAATGTCTTGCACATGGTCAGCACTTGATAAATATTTGTATAATGTAGGAGTATCGTAGGCATAATTAAATCCAGGCAGTGCTTCTCTTATATAGAAAAATAAATAATTTTGCAAATTGTTTTTTTTTTTAAATCTCGGAGCATAGAGCCTTTCTGCAGCATTATTCTCGATAAATTCCTAGATTTTTTTTTGTAAATAAAAGTTCAAGGAATTTAAGGGAAAATTCAAAGTGGATTTTATATATGCACGTGTACATGCATGCATGCATGCATATATGTATACATATAACATTTGTATTTTTGTTTACTCTTTTTTTGTGTCTCCAAAACTAAACTGTGAAACTAAAGCAGGAACTTGTTATACGGGTTTTCTAGAGGAATGTAAACATTTTGATAAAATCTGATATCTTATTTATGTAGCAGATAAAAACAACTTAGGCAAAAGTAGTAGTTTTATTATTCTAGAACATTCAGCCCAGGGCCTAGCGCATAGTAGACTTCGTAAAGGTTTCTTGGACTGAACTCAGGAGCGCCTGGACTCGAGCAGAAGCTCTGACAAAGCCCCTGTTGCATGCTGGCAGAACTGCAAGCACTGAGGGAATGAGTGGGTTCCCAGAGGGCCTTGCAGCCACAGGTTGCCTGGTATTCAGATAGCCTTCTCCCAGGAAACCTTCTGATCCTCGCGTGTGGAGGCAGGCACACTTTTTCTGTACTCCCTGGCCACTTGCTCTTTTTCTGTTGCAGCCCAGCGCCTTGGAGGCCTAGCTGGTAAGCCCTATGCTAGGTTGAATGATAAAGAGCTCAGTCCCATAAAGGAAGATGTTTTTAGAGTTTATGTTATCTTGTTCACAGGGTCCACACCCAGTCAGTTTTCCCTGAATAACCTGGCCATTTCCATTACACAAGCCATGCATTCTTAAAAGGTATTTGATTTAATCGTTAGATATTTTATTGAGTTTGCCAAATTGATTTCAGCCTAATATGGAAAAAAAACGGGCTGTTTCTACCATCTAGGACATGTCAAGCACTGATAATAGTAAAAAGCATGGGAACTAGCAAGTAGCATAATATTTTTCCATAACTATTCATGAAAACATGCCATTGTTTCTAGAGGAAAAGAAAATAAAAGATGTTGCTTGCGAGCTTTCAAGAACCATTTAAAAAACATTTGGTTTTCATTTATAGCGAAATGTCCTTAAGGTAGCTTATGAAACCCAGAAGAAGAAACTTACAGTATTAAATATAAAATTATATGTGCATAATGGTTTTTCAGCATTTATCATAAACCAGAAACGTTCACTGAACTAACATTTAACTCCAGTGTTTTGTGCCTGGGTATTTCCCAGACATTTTCCAAGAGTTTACATGATTTCAGAATATTCTCTTGAATAAACAGATATTATAGGTCATCTTATTGCATCTTACATACTGACTTTCTGAATTTTTTGGTACAGATTTAATGAGTTACATTTAACAATGTTTAATTGTGTTTATTATTTGTAAAATGTGTTTGTTATAGCAAAACTTTTTCTAAGCAGCTTAATTTGTCTTCTCTATTGAGTAAAGTACAATGAAACCATAAGCCGAGGTGTTATTTTTGCCTTTTTATAGACTTTTTTTGGTGCTTATAATTAAACTACTAGTCATTAAAAACAACTTAGCTGTTATATCCTCAAATCTCTTAAAAATTATCCAACAGGCATTTTGTATTAGGTCTTTAGGAAGTAAGGCAATATGGCCAGACTTAGAAGGTACCTGGGGTAGCCTTCATCTTATTAAGCATGTGCTCCTCATTTCTGTAGGCATTTTGGATCAGTCTGCTGTGTGGGTTGATGAAATGAATTATTATGATATGCGTACTGACAGGAACAAAGGAATTCCGCCCTTGTCCTTACGTCCTGCTAACCCCCTTGGCATTGAGATTGAAAAGTGAGTAGCATCTTGCCTTCAGCCTTCTTCATTTTTCAGTTGCCAAAAAGTTTTATATACTTACAGGAAAGGGACTCAAGCTCCAGAAATGTCCCAGGAAACATGATTTAAGATAACTTAGTTGTTTGGAGATGGGTGTTATTTATGAAGCCTGGTTAGCTTTGCTGCAAGTAAACTTTGCAATTAGTTAAAACTTTTGGCTAAAACTACTTACCTCTTTAGTTTTTTGATTTTACATTTTGTGAAAAAGAAAAGTCTTTAATATGTTATCTGGAGATGGTTAAATAGCTAGATGGCACCTGAAGTCAAAATAGAATTCATAATCTACCCATTTGCTTGATTTTTCTAGAAGTATTTTAGAATAACTAGATCTAATCTGGTCTTTATTTTATCTGTAACATCTACCTCTCATTCTTGCTTAATCCAGACTTAGTTAACTTTAATCATCAGAATTCAGCCAGGTAAATATCTTTCAAGATGCCTTATAACTGGGTCTGGAGTTTTTTCTGAATTCCTAATAAAGTGTTTTAGTAACTTTTATAATTAGTGCCTTTCTACTTAAACAATTCACCTAACATGTTAATTGTGGCTAATTTATCTTCTGACTTTAGTGATTCTGCTTATGGAATTGTATACTTTGTTGCTCTGCAAACTCTTACCAAAAGTGACAAATTAGCACTGTTAATACTTTTAACCATGGTTTTAGTTTCGAGTTTTCTAGGAATGGGGAAAATTCTCCAATATTCTCTCTCTCTCTCTCTCTGTTTCTCTCTCTCTCTCTCTCTCTCTCTCTCTCATCTTCAAGCCTACCTTTGAAGATCATTAGTAATTCAGATAGCTCATTTCATTTTCACCTGCTGGGGTTTGCCCCTGGCTGAAGGGAGGCAGCATATTTGTCTTGGAAAGGTAACATTTGTTGGAAAGGTCTGGGGCTTAGCAGCTTTGGATGGACTTGGACTGTTCTAGGTAACATCTTTGAATCATTTTGGCAGTATAGTGGTTTGGCCTGAACTGCCTCTGACAGCAGTGTTTCTTAATAAGTTTCAGGATAATTCTTTGGTAACATTGTTAATGGCACTGAAGAATGATAGCACTAAAAGTACTTAGCTTTTTGGTTTTTTTTTTTTTTTTTTTTTGAGACAGAGTTTCACTCAGCTGCCCAGGCTGGAATGCAATGGCGCATTCTCGGCTCACTGAAACCTCCACCTCTCAGTTTCAAGAAATTCTCCAACCTCAGCCTCCCAAGTAGCTGGTATCAGGCACTTGCCACCACGTCTGGCTAATGTATTTTTAGTAGAGACAAGGTTTCACCATGTTGGGCAGGCTGGTCTCAAACTCCTGACCTCAGGCGATCTGCTCCTCGTGGCCTCCCCAAGTGCTGGGATTACAGGTGGGAGCCACCATGCCCAGCCTTAGCTTTCTTAAACATTTCTTTTCTTTTTTCTCTGAGAGGTAGTTTGTTTGGTTTTGTGTGGAACAAAACTCTCTCAATTTGAACTTGGGCTCCACCACTTACTAGCGATGTGACGTTGAGTAAGTTACTTAGCCTCCTTTTGCCTCAGTTTCCTCAGATGTACAAGACATTGCCTGTTCCTTAGGGCCGATGTGAGGAATCAGGGAGTGAAGAGGTAAATACTTGGAGTATAGCAAGTGCTGAGCAAATATTCATCCTTACTACCAGGATTCTTTGCTCTTCTTGGATGTATACTATTCATTGTTATGCCACATAGGAAAAGTTTTTTTAATGACTTAAGATTCCAGGGTACTGAATTGTTTTAAATTTTAAAATAACATTATGTACATTTATTTAAGAAGTACTTTGGTGGGAATAAAATTATCAGATTTTGTCTGTTCCTGTACAGACTTACTTAAGTTTCAGAAATATTTGCTCAGCCATGGGTTAAAGTAAAATATTAAAGGATAATTTTTGAAAAAGGGAAAATCATGATTCTTATACAAATATAAAATGAATAGATGTCAAAGCTTTTATTTAACTTATAATTAAGGAGAAAACCAATAAGATGTTAAAACCAGCCCAAAGGAAAGTCCAGAGGGGAGACGTATGCAATGAGAAATGCCAGAAGATGCAAGACTGCCAGCCCATTTCGGAGGAGTCAGTGAAATCCTCACCTGACGTGCATTTCTGTGGACAGGAATCCCTGGCTTTGCTGTTAGCCCTCCACAGCCAGCTCTGTCTTTCTAACAGAGACTCAGAATAGCCAATGAACAGGGAAAGGCGCGGATCCTGTAGCATCAGGGAACACGGGGAGGCCCTGTAGACCGTGAATGGACATCCAGTCATCCTTCTGTCCAATTGAAAGTGTCTTGCAGTTTTTTCTATGTAAAGAAAGAGAGGCTAGATGTAGAGATTCCAGGAAGCAAGAAAAATGAAAAATGAAAGTGAGAATACGTATGGAAACCAAGAGAAGAGAATGCTTTGGGCCAGAAAAATGCTTTCCAGGTTCCTTTTTTTTTTTTTTTTTTTGAGATACTTTCAAGAAACTGTGTTTATCTTGTTGAATTATTTGACCACAGTTAGCGAAATCTTATTTTAGAGAAAGATAAAAGCAAGGAAAGGCAGATTGGAAAATATTGATGTGGGTTTTATTTTGCCAATTTACTTACTATTTTTTGGTGGATGCTTTGGTCTTTGTAGATGATAGCATTGTACTCAGGTTAGGATCCTTTACTGTCTTTTAGTTCTGTTTATTAATGTCATTTTTTTAATATAATTAAAAGCCTGGAGAGCACCTGCTTTTTGCAGATGTCAGTATTGAAGGAATAATAGGGTTTTAGCATTATTTGTTTGTTGAAACATAATTTAAAAGGTTTGAAGAATTATGAGTGCTGGTCATTAAATGCTCCCCTGTGGTCCTAGTGAGTGATCAGATTGCAGTGGGGAGGTGACCTTCAGGAGGTAAGTCAGCTTCTGGTGATTGCAATATGAGTATCTGTGGAAATTCTCGACAACTGATGGTCTAGTGTACAAAGCGGGAGCCTGAGGGGCGCTGCAGTGTGGTGGCCGCTTCATGTGAATATGACAAAGCCAGTGAGAGTAGCACAGTTAGTTTAGTTGCCTTGTGGCTCTTCGGGGTGAGTCAGAGTTTAGTAAATATTTTACCGGTGGACCCAGCATGCATACTTCTGTCTTGCAGCCTACGAGTTGAACAACTTGGCATTTATTGACTGTCTTTGACTGTCTTTATATTCCTAAATTTTTAACTGATGTTTTGCACACAGGGCATCATGATACTTATAAAAATGTTACTAATTGCTCAGAATAAATAGCTTCACTTTGAATTGAGACTAGGATTTGCTCGTAAAAGGTCTATATTTTTTATTTACGATGGCAATAGTCACAAATATATGTGTTCTTAGCATGACTTCAGTTGTAATGAAGACAAACTAAACCAAAAAGGAAGGTAAAACCAGGTTCATGTTACGTGAAAACTTTCGCTAGGTTTTGTTTCTTGAAATCAATATTCAATGGCCTAACAAGAGGGTATTTATGGGTAATGTTTGGGAGGCAGTCTGTACATGGGACTGAGGGCAGAAGATGGGAGCCTTGTACTGTTTTTATATGATTGCCAACTGTTTTTGTGAATTATTACCTGGGAATGGCTGTCAAGAATAGTCAGTTGTTGCACCACTAGTATTTGTTTTATTTCTACATGGGTTTTATGGGCAATGCAAACCTGATTTTCTTCTAATCAGCTCGGCTTTCAAAGAGAAAGAAAAGACCAATTTCAATTTTCCCATCAAATTTAGAAGATTACATTTTAAAAAAGGAAAACGGACAGCAAATTAATTCTTCATATGAGTGCAGAAGAAAAGAGCCTTTGGTGACTTTGCCTTTGTGTAAAAATAGATGGTCAGTGAGAGTGCCCTGAAGTCCGGAAACTGGGTCAGACAGAAAAAAGTGAAACAAACTTATAATACTTAATAACACAGAGTGCAAACAATGTTGCTAAAAACTTAAAGCTACAAGAAATATATGTAGCATGCACACAAAGAACTAGCAGTGACCACCTTCACTGTTAGCCTCCCCCTCCCATCTTCCATCTGCCAAATCAAGAAAGTATGTTTTCTTTGATGCGAAAACAGAATAACACAACTGCAGCCTCACAATGTGTTGAGTGGCTATGGCGGTCTCAGAAGGAGTCCCATTGATTTGCATGCTGCATAGGTCATTGCTGCAGAGGGTCCTCATACTGGAAAGTGAGTGCTGACGTGTTTCAAAGAAGGTGCCTGTTTGTGTCTCTTCACTCAGTCCCAAGCCCTGAGTCTTCCCCTGGCTTGGGGCTAGCTTTTTTTTTTTTTTTTTTAAAAATAAGGTTTAAATCTGACCTTACACTGCCATCTAATGGAAAACATACCTTTTCAAGGTGGCAGGAATTGTCAGTGACTAAAACTACATGTTTTGATTCCTCGATGAAAACATTTTGTGAGTTTACACAGTAGGGTCCATGTTACTTTCAGTCTTTAACTGAGTGTCAGTGGACTTAAAATGAAGGCTTGTTTTGAATTACTGAGAGCATATTTTGGTTTTTCTGATGTGTTTGAGCTATCACTTCACGTGGAAGTTTAGAGTTCAAAATCCAGTTTTTCTGAACAAACATACAAATTTTTACTCTGTGCTTCATTAGCCATGTTGACATGCTACCTCCTCCTTTCCTACCACTATTATTAAGGGCATTAGCATTTCTCGTCATTGGAAAGCAACTCCCCTTTCATGCTTCCTTACATTGTCATCTTTGTGGATGTGTAGTTACGACTGTATTTGCTATCTAAGACTCTCTGGTTCTCTGTTCAACATTAGAAGTACTAGGTTCAAATCTCCACTGTTTACATGTAACCTCTCAGAGGCCATTTCCTCATCTGGAATTTGGGAACATTTAACTCAGTTGTTGTCATGAGGATAAAATTAAATAATACTTAGGAAAGTAGACTGTAAGATATAAATAAGTGTAAAGTTTAAAAAAATAGCAAATAACATTTTTGAGCATTTGTCATGTGTCAGAAACTGCTACAACTTCTACAAGCATTATCTACTCTGATCTTCAAAACATTTGTAAGAGGAAGATATTATGATGCATTATTCTTAGGAATAATGGAATAACTTCTTGAGATTATACAGGCAGACTGAGCAAACACTGAGATTGAACCCAGAGCCTGTGCTCTTAGCCACTACTTATGACCACTTTGTCCTGTTGTGAACACTGAGATGAGCCACCTCCACTTCTGCTCCTGTGCCACCCATGTAGCTTCAGGGACTCTGGCATTGGTATTCAGTTTTTGTTTTTTCCAAGTCATCTGTTTTACATTTTTGAGATGTTTGCATAAAAGATCGGTATATTTTGGCATCTATTTTGCAATAGAATATGGAACCAGGTTGCCTTCAGCTGCAAGTAAGAGAAAATGAAAATTCATTTGATTTAAACGAAAGTACAATCTACTTTTTCATAATATACGATATTCAGTGATAGTACCCTCCAAAGTTTGGTTGAGTCAGTAACTTAGTCATGTCACCAAGATGTGAGGAGCATGAGTTTGCTGGCTATCCTGCTGCCCTTAGCATAAAACAGATTTCCTTCCTAATTACAAATGGCTTTAGCAATTCCTGTGGTTGAAACTGGACACAATGATGTCGTAAGGCAGAAAGATGCTACCTCTTCTTGGTGGTTCTTCTGGAGAGTATGGAGACCTTTCCCAGATGTGCTCCAACAGACCTTTGCTCAGACATCACTCACTGGTCAGAACAACGTTACCCACTTAAGAGCAGGGAACATATGACAAGTGTGGTTGGCTTATGGTGGTTGATCTCTCCCCAGTTAAGGGGCAAGTGGTGGGCTGTGGGATTCTTCCAGCAGAGAGGGCTCAGAGTGATTGACGGGCCATAGCCAGCAGTGTCCCCTCTAAATGGGCTCTGTATGTCTGGGCAGGGTTAGTCCTGGACTTAATTGTGTGATTTGGGGAAAATTAGTTGACTTCTCTGTGTTAGAATTTCACCCTCTTGAAAATAACGTCTGTCATAGTCTTGTAAGTCTGATTTCTGCTGTAAGTCTCAATACATGACTTCCAATTAGTTAAGATTAACAAAAGACTTTTAACGTCTTCAGTAAGAACTCTTGGAATAATCAGCTCCGTCTTAGGGGAGGTGGTATTTTGACCAAGAGATATAGTGCTTTTCAAATTCTACTTGGCCCATGTCAGGGGCCTGAAGGAGCGACATGTGCTGGGAGGGGTGCTGATGGGTATGTGGGGCTCGAGTCTCAGCATCTAGCTCCGGGAGCTTGGACGCTTGGGCCTCCCTGCTCACTCCAACGTAAAAGATGAGTCTCAGGCTCTGCCACCCATGTCCTCCCAGTGTCCTGTGGTGCATGGGATGTTCATGGCTAAAGAGCTGGGAGTGCAGGGCCACTGTGGACCTTGCCAAACCCACTGCTTTCTCGCCAGGGGCCCCACTGCTAGGGACTGGCTAGACCCATCTGCTCCTTCTTAGGATGAGGGAGGGAGGGACTCCTGGAGGTAGGAGAGTTTCTTAACAATCCGTCCTCTGGAGCCCTCACTAGACATCAGGCCTTTATATTATGATATTACTGAGAGCAGTTTAGATTTGTAAAAATAACAATTTTGTAATGCATTGTAAATGAGATGTTAGCAGAGTTTAAGTATCAGGGGAATTTTAAAAATGGAATACAAAATGGAAAACTCTGAGCTGCTGGTTTACATTTTTCAGTACTATCAGCACTACCAGTTTAACCATTGTAACTGTTTAGGACAGAACGCTTTTCTATATGTACTGTGTACATCCCGTTTTTTAAAACAACTTTTTATTGGCTAAACATGTGGAGTATGATTTAGCTGCCATGGGGGCTGTGTATTCTTAACTGTTTCTCCAGGGCATGCAGCTGCTGTATTTTTGAATTTTGTGTCTGCATTTTATAGTTTCTTGTTACCATTGTGTCACAGATCCTTTCTTCACATTGTCAGCTCTTAACACTAGCAATCCCATCTTTGATCGTGGGCAGAGAAATACCGAGGCACAGTGAAGCCCCACGGGCGTGGGTGAGGGACACAGAAGCTCAGTGTGACTTCTCAGCCTTCTTTCGTTTCTTTTTTCTCAGCTGTGTCCTTAGGTTACTTGGAATTGATCCCTGCCAGATGAGGATTTCTTGTACTTAAATAATGTGTAAAGACTGTTATTAGTAGGAATTTAGTTGATATCAGCAGCACATTTTGATTCTGCTAAGATCATTTAACTTTCTGAGCAAGTGAAGTGTGAGACACCACACTGAATGCCAATGCATGGAAGTAAGGTAAACAGAAACACGGTTTACAGCCACCGTGACTCCTCCCGCCCACGACAACAGGCCTTACTAATTGGTCATGTCATTCTTTCCAGCGGAGTTCAGACAAAGCCCGTGATCCCTCACACAGCACGCCAGGCAGATGCTGCCTGCCGGTTAGAGCAGGACTCCAGAAGGAAGCACTTCTGGGTCACTTAGCTGGGGCTCAGCATGTTGTGGCTTAGCCTAAGCCTCCACTCAGTCGATATATTTCCCCCAAAGCTCTAACTTGGAGGCATGGGGTACAAATAAATAAAGTGAGAAAAACTTCCAGAGGTGAAAGGATTTTCTTACTAAGTAAAGTATGAGAACCAGCATGAAGAATCCAAACCAAAATAAACTTAAAAACTCTAAGTTCTCTACCTCCCTCTCAGAGACTGCTGACTGGTGAAAATGACCAGCTAGCTAATGAATGCCACACGCATGTATCAGGAAGATTCAGACTGTAACTCTTTTTAACTTGTGAGGCTAATGGGAAAAGATGCAAGATTGACTTTGTCTAAGTGGAAGTGGTGCCACCTCCTGAAATCTCATCTGTCTTCTTTTCTGTTATAATTCTAAGCCAGGCCTCCCCCACCCAATTAAAAAAGGAACATAGTGAAGAAGGGCAGTGTAACAGAATGTGAATGGGATGCCCTGTCCTGGCTGAGGTGCTCGCACAGTAGGCATGACTCTAGAGTGAATGGCGTCTCACTGTGCAGGGTTGATAGAGGAACTCCTCGATATCTGGTTTTGCAGCTCACATTCCTTGTTCTTATAGGGACCACAGAGGGAGAGGATGTGTAGAGAGGCGAGGAGGATTTGTGCAGAGATTTCTGTGGGGAGAGCCGGGCTAGGCCACAAAGGGGGAGGACACAGAATGTGTGAGCATCACCACTTAGCCCTGGTGAATGGGACCTCCAGGTGACAGTGTTCCCTGCAGCTGTGAGGAACAGAACCTGCGTGGACAGTTTTTAGGGGTGTTCCCCATGTCCAGGTGAGCAAGCAACTTGCTGGAGGGAGTGGGTTCTAGGCCATTGGAAGTTGTGCCTAAGGAGACTGGTCAGCTGAACGTGGAGGGTCTCCAGCAGGGAGTGCCTACAATAAGGCTGAGAGACCACTCGAGGCTGAAGGGTGGCAGTAGAAAAATGATGCATCCATGAGTCAGGGCTCGGGGAGTTCTCCAGAGCCCTTGAGGGAACCTGTGAAAATGCCCACAGACTCAGGTAGGATTTAATACCTGGCAGGCAGAGAGCAAAGGCCACCCATGGCAGTACCAGGCACAGGCCCCAAAGGACATTCCATTCTTACCTCTCCATCCATGCTACCCTTAACCTCTACAACAGAGCTCCCGCTTTCCCCCCAATCAAGCAAGCAGCCTAGTAACTATTCACCTTGGCTGGGAAGAGGGAAGAAAAAAATGTTATCTTTGAGTGAAGTTGGAGTGTTGTTCATGGACTAAGCTGCCTAATTGAGCTGTGTTTGTAATGATGAGACAGCAAGACTCTCCCAGAGAAGAGTAAGTAGAAAAGTCATTGGACTACCCACGTTAAGAATTCTTTTAGGGTAGGGGTCATTTCACCACTGCATAAATGTTAAAGAGATACTGTGCTATCAAATGATCCGTATCTGGTTTATACTTTATGATTTGGATTTGTCCATTGTATCGGGATAGGGGACACATCTTAGAGGGGACAGCAAATCAGATGAACAAAGTAAACACCAACATGGTAGAAAGCAACATGCGAGACAGTATAGTCTTGGAGGCTGCTGAAGCACCAGGTTTCAGGCCTCGAGTGGCAGAAATGAGCCCTGAGAGACAAGCAGTTTCAGTTCATGGACATGCTTGGATTTCATCCTGCAAATGGGGCAGTGGGGGCCAGCGAAGGCTGCCAGGTTGTGAGCCTCAGTGGACACATCTGGCATACCAGCATGGAGCCTGACCTATAGTAGATGCTTGATTAGTAGATGCTTGAAGAATATGTAAATGAATTGATCCAGAAGTCAATCTTAAACATGTAGGCAAGATGAGGGAGCTACAGATTATGTATATAGCCTGTTGTTATCATAATCTTTTCTTAAAGTCATTCTAGACATGGACATGATGGTTAGATGTGGTTTTTATTAGTATTTGCATGACTTCTTAGACAGTATGTCTTAAAACAACTTTCATATAGGTTTTAACAAAAATCATTTAACAAAGTGATTTAATATTTTAAAAGTTCACTGTATTCAAATTTTGATTTTTATACATTGAATGGGAATTGATTTCATATTTTGATAGGTTTAATAAAACATCAACTCAGCCTGATGTCTTAATCCTCTTTAAACTTCATTTTCTTTTATTGATTTAATTTCTGTATTTCAACTAGTTTCCTATCTTTTCTATGTTAACCAAAGTTTACATGATAGAAAAATCAGCCATGATGTGGGAAATGTATTTTGTACCTATATATAAACAAATTCTGGATAATGTATTATTAATATGTATCATTGTAATAGTTTGTATTAATATATGTTACACTGGATACTCAGTGATATTTGTTACATTTTTGTCATAATAACCATTAAAATATGTTTTAAACCTTTTTTCCCCTCAGAAGTAAATTTTCCCAGAAGGACTTAGAAATGCTGTTCCATGGAATGAGTGCTGATTTTACAAGTGAGAATTTTTCAGCTGCCTGGTATCTTATAGAGAATCACTCAAACACCAGGTTAGTGGATATGAGACTGTCATCTGTGAAGGGTTTCACTCAATTGCTAAAAATTGGATCACACGGTAACTTGAATTTTAGGTCTGGCTCTGCATTCAGTAATATAGTTTTAGGCCTATGGGTGAGCCTGTGAACATCTCAGGGTGTCTGTTTCCTTATTTGTACAATGAGATGATTAATTAGAGGTCTCTTATTTCCTACTGTCATTTTATCTTCTATATATTTTATTATTGGTGTAGGTTATTAAAACTTTATGGCACCTTAGTTGGGGACTTAAACTGACATGTATGAATTGATCTCTCCCTACTCAAATAACATAAAAATTTTAAGTTCTAGTGTAAAACATGAAACATACTGCTTCTCTGACCATAGAGCAAAGGAAGATGAGTTGGTTTATCATCATGGAAGGACCTGGCTTAAAATTAGCAAAAAAGCAGACAAGGTCATATATCCAATTTGAAGGTTCCCTTTTGTCTTCTAATTAAATTTTACTCACTCTCTGTAAGAGCTGATTTGTAGCTTATTTGCAAGATTGATTTAAAATAATTATATTTAGCAAAAAATGTTTGGATAAATCAATGGTTTATTGCTTAAAACTTAAGTCAGTGTGTTAAAATATACTTTAATATAAATTTTTCATTTACTTATTAGGATGAAAAGCATTACTAGAAAACATAAGAAAAAGTTGGCATTTTAATACATAGGGTAAATTTAGGCCTGATTGCTTTATAAAGCAAATGTCCAAGATGAATTTTTTTCATTGTGGAAGATGATTCTAATTTTACATTACAGATGTGAAATTTCTATTTTTATATGTCAGAATTGGGTTCTGCTTCTTGTGTAGATCTGTCAAGAATATGTTTAAAGTTTTATAGCCAGTTTTTCTTAGCTCAAATGGACATAAAACTTCTGAAATACAGAGGCCTGCCTTTGTTTTTCTCTGCTTGAGATATTGAGATAAGATACTGTGGTCTTCCTAGTTATTTAAGTTGTGAATTCACCCACAGGATTTATGTCATTTTATTGTTAAGGACAGAGGCCTGGATATTGATAAATATGCCATTCTGCTCAGTGTTCCACAATGCTTCAGTGAATCTACAGAGGAGTTACACCTTTGAAATATTGTCTATCACTGGGTGACCTATGTTTTCTTATCTGGTACAGGATGTTCAAAACTCTTTATCTGGTAAATTGTATATATTATATATAGGTTATAAAAACATCTACACATTTACTTGTTAGAGTTCTAACATTTGGAGTCACCATTGAGGACCCCAAAACTCTTTTATAGCTGTTGTAATGTAAGCATTCCTAATAAATAAAAGGTTTAGATCTATGTAACTAAACCATAGATTTAAAAGGTTTAAATCTATGAAAGCTTTTTGTTTTCATCTGGCTTTGTATGATATTAATCTGTATGCTGCTTAGCATCAGTTTTAGCATATTAAGTGTTTTCCACTGAAGGAATTCTTTTTTCTTTTTTGCATGTTAGAAGTCTCACACGTTTGTTTTTTTTTATTTCATTTCAGTTTTGAGCAGCTCAAAATGGCCGTCACCAACCTCAAGAGACAGGCTAACAAGAAGAGCGAGGGCAGCCTGGCCTATGTGAAAGGCGGTCTTAGTACATTCTTTGAAGCACAGGATGCCCTCTCAGGTAAGGTGATCCTCAGAGCCATCTGCTGGCAGCTTCTGCCATGGAAACCTGACCCTGCCTGCAGGGTGTTTACAGGGTGGGACATTTGGTCTGTTTTTATCATAGTAGAGATGTAAAATGTGCCATAAATATTTGTTGCAGATTCAGTTGGACTCTTTAAAGACTTGGTACTTGAAAAATTTATCTCTGAGGCTTTTGTTGACCCATCTTGCATGTGTGAAATGGGAGACTACTTTAACTCTCTGTGATGCCTACACCCCAGGGCTGATAAGAAATTAAATCCCAATGAGTAAATTTGAGGATTTCAAAAGTCCTTTCACAACCATCAATATCTTACATATGTGACTAATTCTGTAGATGTGACCCATTGTGTGTTCAGTTTGAAAAGGCTGATGACAGGGTACCAGTCTCCTCAGCCCTTATCCCACAGGCCCCCGACATGCACACAGGTAGCTGTCACTGTGCCATCCCCTGTGTATGGGAGGGACATTGTGTGGAGTACAGATGTCATAGCTTTAGACGTTTTAATGCAGGATGTTGGTAGAGTTTTTTAATAAAACAGCCTTTTAATTTATAAAAGCTTAATTATTGCTATTTAGTAAAAAGTAATCTATATTAACAAAAGTTAATTCTTTTTAAAAGCTAAGGTACTTACAACTAAGTACCTGTATAGCTAAGTATCCATAACTCTAACCGTACATTGAGGCCACATCTTCTTCAATTCAGGAAGGTAAATTTTAAAAATTGTTTTATATTCCTAAAATACTGACATTCTTTTATTGTTTTAAAAGCCCCCCTTTTCTTGTGCAATACAGGCCTAATTGATCTCCAACACATTAAATGTGTTTGTGATGCAGCTTCTTCCTTGCAGGTAGAAGTTGGGTTTTTGAAGGGGTAAAGTGTGACTGTCCGGGAGGGAACAGAGACGGTACATGCTCTTCCTTGATAAATATGTGTGCCTTACGTTTCTTGATGGTGTGCCTTTCTTTATTTGTGCTTATTGCTGTTCTAAGTTATCAATAGTTAATCTTACCATGTCAGGAAGAAAATCTGAGCATGTGTGAACAGAGTTTAGTATTAATCAGGTAAAGATGGTTATCATATGCTTAGTAGCTGCACAAATGTTTTCCACAAATTATTGTAATCAAAATGATTTATCTTAGCAACAAGACAGGTGTGACTTTTCTCTCCACCCTTTTTAAAAAACATATTTACATATATATGTATATGTATATTTGTGTTTATGATGGCTTCACTGTTGGTAGATCTTAAGAAGTTTTATTTGGTACACTAAATTTATGTAGTCTCATTTATTAGTCATTCACCCTAGAAGTATGTTAGTAACTGGAAATTTAATAAAGATAATGCTGACCAGCTACTAATAAACAAATGACTTTATGGCATATAGGAAGTGATTATAATAAGAAATTTGAAAACTTTAGATGCATGTATTTAGCTTTTATGTTTTTTGAAATAAAGGAAATGAATATGATAAAAAATACTAAACACATAATTAGCAAGAACATCTGTTGTAGAGGTAATCACATTAACATTTTAATGTATTTCCTTTTATCTTCTTTTGTTAGGTTGTATGAGTACTCATTACAAAATTGAGGTTATATTGTATGTAGAATTGTGTGTACTAGAAACCTTTTTATTCTTTAGGTGAAACCTGTTGTGTCTCTGATTATGTTAATTTACTATAGCATTAATAGCTTTTTATAACTTTTTCTCACTGTAGTCTTAATCTGTATTTTAGTAAAGTGCTGTTTTGGTCAGGTTCGAGTGTGAATGTTGGGTGGTAATGTGTGGATCTCTGTGTGTGTTGCTCTGTGTGCTGTCCATGGGCTATGTAGACTAGGAATTACATGATTCAAATTTGACAGAGCTGGTAAGTAAAGTTGCTCAGGTAATTTGTTTTTGCTTTTCTATTATGAAAATTTTCAAACAGGAGATGAAATTATAATCAACTCCTATATACCTATCACCTAGGTTTAACAATTATTATTCTTGTGTTATACTTGCTTTTGAGATGGGTTTGTTTGCATTTTGCTGATGTATTTTAAAGCAAATCTCAAACAGCATGATGTTTTTCTCCTAAATACCTGAGTATGAATCTACTAAATAAGGGTAAGAACATTTATGTATATAATCATAGTGATACTACCATAGTTAACCAAATTAGCAATACTTTTTTAATATCATCTCATTCCCAGTTCACATTTCTCCACTTATCCCCAAACTCTTTTTTTATAGTTGATATGTCCAGATCAAGATTCAAAGAAAATTCAGGCATTTCACTTAATTTTTAAATCTCTTAAACCTCTTTTAAACTAAAACTATCCCCTTACTTTTCCTACCCTGTTTCTGGTTTTTCATGCCATTGATTTGTTGAAGAAACAAGGTCATTTGTCCTGGAAGATATCCCCTACTCTGAATTTGACTGATGACTTACTCATGGTGTCATTTAACTTATTTTTCTTGCCATTATATTACTTGGACTTATCTAATTGGATATTAGATAAGATTCACTTTCAGCATTTTTAGGCACGGCTGGTACTGTGCTTCTTGTTTCAACACACCAGGCAGCAGGAGTGCGTTAGTGTCTGGGGTCTCTCCTGAGGAGACACTGCAGTGCATCAGTAGCTTCAAGGGGTGATTGGGAACCAGCAGGTGAGACAGAGATACATATATGTGTGTACAGACACACACACACACACACACACACACACACACACACACACACGCATACTTTTCAAACCTCTGTTGTCTCTGCTTTATTTTGCTTTGTTTTCCCTGAAATTTTCTTTTTTATCAAGATTTTCATGTTTTGTTAGGATTGCATTATAATTTTTAAATTATTTAAAATTCGCATTATGGGCCCTTTCATTATCTGTTTAGTATTTGTATGTTCTATGTCATTTTTAAACATTCATTCTTTAGGGATATCTTTTTTGTGTTTTTAAAATGTGCAATTTTAATTTTCCTTCTTGACTTAGTAGTTTATAGTAAATTTTTGTGTTCATAGTCTCTATTCTTACAGTATTGTGAACAGAGAATATGTTTTTTAATGTATATTAAGTTTGTATAAGTATGCCAAAAATTACAAAGGACAGACGGGCATGTTTTCTTTAGGGTCCACGATTTGATATAATATCAATGCCTGATTAATTATATTACTTAAATCTAGCTTATTTATACTAAACATGACAGACAGATCTCCTTTTTAAATTTTGATTCTGTCAATTTTTCTTTGTATGTAAAGCATGTATTTACTTTGTAACTTTTGATGGTTTAAAGTCTCTTGATGATAATATATTTATAAGAAGTCCCCAAGATTATCCTCAGTTTGGTTGTTGCTAGAAGCACTCACAGAACTTAGTGAAGGCTGTTGTACTCAGAGTTTTGGTTTATTACAGGGAAATTGCAGATTATAGTCAGCCAAGGATAGAGATTCATGGAGCAGATGTAGGAAAATTCCATCCATGGAGTTTCCAGTAGTCTCCCAGTGGAATTGCAGTTAGCACTGACTTTCCCGGTAACAGTACGTGACAACACACATGGAATGCTTCCATCCAAGGAAGCTGTCCAAACCTTGTTGTCGGATCCAGAGTCTTTAGTAGGGCTTGTCACATGGATGTGGTCAAGGGTCTTTATGGCTGACTTCAATCTCCATTCCCTCAGATCAGGCTGATACTGAGTGACCTTAAGGCCTCACCCATAAATTCCATTGTTAGACTGTCTAGTGTGGCCCATGGCCCACAGGCAAACAAAGACACTCTTATCAGGCTGAACATTTCAAGAGTTTAGAGATTACTTCCCAGGACCTAAGGGCAAAGGCCAGATCTTTTAGGGGGCAAGATTAAATTCTTTGATGCACAATAAGGTAATGTTAACATTTTATACCTTTCCTTTTGTATGCATTTGCTTGATAGATTATTTGTAGTATTCTTTGTAACCTTTTAGAAGTTTTGCTTTTGGCATGTGTCTTGTGTTGCTACATGTGGCAGGATTTTTATTTTAAATACTATTCTGAGAGCCTTTGCTTTTAAATAGAAAGATCGAAGCCATTTACATTTATCATAGTTGAAATATTTGTCCTGATGTCTTTTTCATTTGTCTTGTTAGCATTTTTTCTTCTTGGCAATATAGACCATATTATTTGCAGATATGAGAGAAATGTTTTAAAATCCTATGACTTCTGTAATATGTGACAACCGTTTAGCATGTTTTTATTTCCCATACCTTTCCCTTTCCCTTTAGGTCTCAATTTAATTTGAAATTTGAAATTATGGACCCAGCTTATTTTACCTTTTCCATTTCAGTATTCTGGTTTTAGATTTTTTTTTTGTCTTTGGCATTTAATTTTATATTCACCACAGTTATATGGTAAATATGTATATATATTTAGTGTGTGTGTATACATATATATATATAGTGTGTGTGTATACATATAATATGTATATATGTGTATATGCATGTATATATGTATATATTTATCACAGTTATATGGTAAATATGTATATATATATTGTGTGTGTGTATATATATTACATGTATATGTACTTTGTGTATATATATATACACACACATACACTATATATGTATAGTGTGTATATATATGCATATATATGTACGTGTATATATATAGGATATCTGTATATAGCGTAGGAAATATATCTGTATCTAGTGTGTATATATATAGTGTGTATGTATGTACATGTATATATACATATGTATACACACTATGTATGTATATGTATATATACATATATATGCACTATATATGTGTATAGTGTATATATATACAAATACATATACATATATGTATATGTATATGTATATATACACATATGTATATATGTGTGTATATGTATACTCTGTGTGTGTGTATATACATAGATATAGATATATAGATATATACAGTGTACATATACATGTAAACTTAATTGGCTTTAATTTTTATTGCCAATGTTTTATATTTCATCTTTCCTGTCTTTGAATTTTTGTCTTGAACAGTATGTTACATGTTTTATACTATACCTTTTGAATTATTGTGTGTCTAGAAATGCCTCTTGCCTTTATACATGAACACACTTGGCAGTAAGAGAATTATTTTCTGAAGACATTGATTCAATGACTTTTAGTGTTTCAGAGACAAAATCTTGAGCCAACATCATCCTTCATTACTTGTGAGTAAATTGTTTCATTTTCCCTCTACCTAAATGTTTAAAAGATGTATTGGTTTAGTCTTGGATTTTTTTTTTTTTTTCTTTTTCTGAGAGGAAAAACACCTTTGCAGTATATACTGGAATATAGGTCCTGTTTTCATTCATTTTAGCCAACACTTGAGACGCCTTCAGAATCTATAGACTCACATCTTCAGTTCTCAAAGCTTTTCTTGTTTTACATTAGATAGAGTTCATGCTTTGTCTCTGAATGGTCTTGGATAAAAATGTCACTCATTTGCTTCTGCTCCCCTGCATGCTGCCCAGCACACTTCTGTTTCTCAGCGGCTGCTCAGGGTCCCAGTAGTGGATGCCTCCTCCCCATTGGTTTTCATCTGTTTCCCTACCATGTTGGGATGTGGGGAAATTGTTCTCTAAATGGTTATCAAAGGAAAGGAGTTGTGCGGTTAAGAAAAATGGAGAAACAGAACTGTAGTCATGAAGATAGTTATGGAAACATTGGAAGGTGTTTCTGATCCGTGCCATGCTTGTGTTCCAGAGTTGGGAATAGGGGACAGGTACAACAAATCAGAGCCTTTCTCTGCTTTTTTTTTTTTTTAAACATCATCTGCATTCTTCACTTCCATCCAGTGGACTGTTTCGTACCCAGTCCAAGTCTGCGTTTTTTCAGTTCATCTCAACCCAGTGTGCCATTAGTAGCCTTTATTCATCTTTAAGTTTTTATGCCATTGTCAGTTTTGTTTCTGCCTGTGTGTCCCCACAGGTGTTTTCATTAGAACTTGATAAGAAGTGTGTCTGGCATAACACCTGCCAATAGCAACCTTGGTATGTTTAGTACAGTTTTTTTCTTTATTCTGCAAAAATATTTCTAGCGCCAGACTTCATTTTTCCATGGCCTTCCCTCTGTCATTCCCTTCTGTTCCGTTGAAGTGGTAGTGACCTGTGGCTTGTTAGCAGATACTGCTCACGCCAGTCCTCCTGGGTGGTGGTGAGGTTTGTGAAGCTCCTTGTAGTGTGAAAGACCTTCGTGAGCCCCTCAGTGCCTCTGAGCACCTCCTTTGTAGTGATTTCTCTGAATGCCCCTTGAGCTTGTGCATTTAGTGACCTGTACAGTCTCTTGTTTTTAGTGGCATAGACTATCACTTGCTCCTTTCAAGAACAACTGTGGGTCAGAACTGTATGAATGAATATTGTTTATGGTACACTAGAGTAAAAAGCCCAAGCAAAATAAATTACACATGTTGCTCCCTGCACTGTCTTATTTGTCCTCTTTCCCCTGTTTCTTTTATTGCTGCTGCTTACTATGTGTGGCTTGAGCCATAATTGATTTTTTGACACACTCTGTCATTAGTGTCTATTGATGTATGAAGATAATTCAGGTAGGTATCGTTTTCTGGGACTCAGTTATCTAAGTGAAAATCATTCCTGTTAGTCTTCTGTGTAATAGTTGCAATTATTTTATTATTTATTGATTTTCTTCAGTATAATTTGGGAAGAAAAGGAATCACAGATTACTTAGCCAATTTAAGTATAATTTATATATGATTTATCTATTCTGACAAAAGTTTGGTAAAATAAGAAATAGAAACTAAATGTTTGAAGGGCTCTTTATCAACTTAAAATACTAATGCATCTTACACAAACCCTTCCTTTTCTCCTGCCTTAATAAATATAACCCTCCTCAGAGGTCAGCCTGTGAGCCAGATTAGGCCGCAGCCTCCCTACAGGCCAGGAGCTAAACATGACTATGTTTTCTCAGGGTTTCTAAAAACAACAAAAGAAGAAGAATATGTGATAAAGTCCGTATGTGGCCCACAAAGCCTAAAGTATTTACTGCTTGCTTCCTCATTGCAATAGTTTGCTCATCTGTGATCTGGCCTGAATATTCCCATTTTGCATAGGCTAGCATTAACATAGAATGGTTAGAGCATTTATATGCTTCTGTGCCCAACGCTGGATCCTTTAGATAATGCCCTATGCAAATATCATTCCTTGGTGCCCTGTTTAACAATGGCATTTACATAAATGCTTGGATGGGTATTACACATTTTTTATTGAAATTGCAAATTTGACATCTACATTTTATTTGAGCATTAAAATGATCAAACAATTGTAGTGAACTAATAGGCAGTCTTTCTATAACCTTGATTTTTCTTTAAGAAATACTGTTATACATACTTTTTTGTTTCTCAGATACAAACTTGTAATGTTCAACTGCTTCACATATTTAAGTTTTAATAGATTAGAAACAATAACAAACCTATGATCATGTACCAAGTTGCTTATTGAGTTATTCTACTCAAAAATGTTTTCAGAGAAAATAAAAGGTCAAGTGAACCAGACATTGGGTTATTTGGTTTAATTTTCTGGAAAATAGGATTGCCTTTATCAGATCGCAGTGTCTCTCAGTCCTCATGCTTGGCTGACAGCTCGACAGTGGTGCTGCTGTGGTGTAGATGGGCGGAGGTAGTTGCTCTGTCGCAAAAAGGGCTGTAAACTGAGCCTACGGGACCAGGGTCACGTCATCTTGACCTGCTCATCAGTGATAGGTTTTGTCAACATCAGAAAATGCAGCTGCATGATTTCCTTTCATGCTAAATTTGACTTGGAAAGCAACATGTGGAGCAGGGCTACTGTAGGGTGTGACATCTCAGCACAGTGCCTGCTCAGTGAAGCTGCAGTGTATGCCAGGCATCCTCCTCCACCAGGACTGTCAGAACACCACAGCAGCATTTAAACGAGGAGGGAGAGCAGACCTGCCCACATATAGCATAGAGCTCTCTCCAGTTGATCTTTGTAATACTTAGGCATAAGTATTACAAAGATTCCTTGCTAGGGAAGAATGTTCCTTTCTGTTTAGCTTAGTAAGTTGAATTTCAGCTTTGGTGTATTGAAACATTTTATGTCACTGTTACCACACAATTCATTTTGAAACATTACAGAAATTACTTTCTCTTCACTCTAAGTCAACCAAGACAAACTACAGTAGCTAGGTTTTTTTCCCCAAATATATTCCTTTTTCTTTCTCTGAATGTATTTCTTTGATAGAGGAGCAGTCTGTTTATTTTAGAATTGCAAAGAAAATTTGAGGTGGTTTATTGAAAGAAAAAAAGATAAAAAATAACAAGATCATAAATAACTAATTAAAAGGAGCAGAGATAGACATTAGCAGGCATTGAGGATCTTTTCATAGTGCATTTGAGTACCAAACTTACTCAGAATTTTCTGACCAATTATCTGAAATGCTTGGGACCCAGCAGTGTTTCAGATTTCAGACTTTTGCAGATTTTTAAATATTTGCATTGCATAGTTACTAGTTGAGCATCCCAAATCTAAACATCTGAAATCTGAAGCACTCTAATGAACATTTCCTTTGAATGTCATGGGGGTGCTTCAAGTTTCAGATTTCGGAGCATGTAGGTTTTTCAGATTGGAGATACTCAGCCAATGGTAATGAGACCCAGGATGCCTCAGTTCTCCCTTTTCTTTTTCAATTCAACTGTTCTTACCACTCAGTCTTGAAGACAGATGATTATGTGTGTTACGCACCTTTTTTTTTTTTTTTGAGATGGAGTCTTGCTCTGTTGCGAGGCTAGAGTGCAGTGGCACGATCTCGGCACACTGCAACCTCCGCCTCCTGGGTTCAAGTTATTCTCCCGCCTCAGCGTCCCAAGTTGCTGGGACTACAGGTACGCGCCACTATGCCTAGCTCATTTTTGTATTTTTAGTAGAGGCAGGGTTTTACCATGTTAACCAGGATAGTTTTGTTCTCTTTTTGTTTTTATTATTGCATTTTAGGTTTTGGGGTACATGTGAAGAACATGCAAGATTGTTGCATAGGTACACACATGGCATTGTGATTTGCGTCCTTCCTCTCCATCACCTATATCTGGCATTTCTCCCCATTCTATCTCTGCCCAACTCCCCACCTGCCTATGTCCCTTCCCTGTTTCCCCCGAACAGACCCCAGTGTGTGGTGCTCCCCTCCCTGTGTCCATGTGTTCTCATTGTTCAGCACCCACCTATGAGTGAGAACATGCGGTGTTTGATTTTCTGTTCTTGTGTCAGTTTGCTGAGAATGATGGTTTCATGCTTAATCCGTGTCCCTACAAAGGACATGAACTCATCGTTTTTGATGGCTGCATAGTATTCCATGGTATATATGTGCCACATTTTCTCTGTCCAGTCTGTCATCGATGGGCATTTGAGTTGGTTCCAAGTCTTTGCTATTGTAAACAGTGCTGCAGTGAATATTTGTGTGCATGTGTCCTTATAGTAGAACGCTTTATAATCCTTTGGATATATACCCAGTAATGGGATTGCTGGGTCAAATGGAATTTCTATTTCTAGATCCTGGAGGAATCACCACATTGTCTTCCACAATGGTTGACCTTTTACACTCCCACCAACAGTGTAAAAGTGTTCCTATTGACTTTGTGATCTGCCCACCATGGCCCCTCAAAGTTCTGGGATTACAGGCTTGTGCGACTGTGCCTGGCTGGCTGTTAGGTACTATTTTAGTGGTGTTAAGCTGAGTAACTTAAGACTGGTGTCTGCTGAGTACCTTGTACAGGGTGGCATGTTTTTTTGTTCCTTTTTAGCAGTGAAAATAATATGACCATTTTAAAAAGCTGTTTAAAAATGTCATTTTGATGTAATGTATCTCCACCCTAAAATGTCCTACATTTTAACTAGGTTTTTTTTTTTCTTCTAGCCATCCATCAAAAACTAGAAGCAGATGGAACGGAAAAAGTAGAAGGATCCATGACGCAGAAACTGGAGAATGTTCTGAACAGTAAGTTTTGTCCTACTATCCAGAACTATTTATGGACTTTACAACATGCTTTAAAATAATTCTTGGACCACATATCACAGGACAAGGCAGTAAGTTGCATTGTAGTATTTATTTCTAAATAGTAATGATTTAATGAACACAAAGGGGAATAGAAACATTGAAAATGAATGTTCTCTTTCTGCTTGCATTTTATTTATGAGAAATCATAATTTGAAAACAATCCAATATACTTCTTAAGAAATAAAGTTTGCTACCATAAAACCAACCAGCATATAAACAGCATCTTAAAAGCTAAGAAAGCGCTGAAGCAGTAGGCAGGATTGTCATTGACCAGAGACCTGGAGGAGCCATCGTCAAGTGTCTCTCAGTGTTAATGCAAATAACCTCCGCCAGGAGAATAACAGGTTCCTAGGTGTCATTTATTTGTGTATACCTTGCCTTTTTCCAAAAAAAAATTTAAGGCAGCTGGCTATTTAAGAATGTGTGTAAACCTGAGATATTTTGTAAAAATTATAGGCCCCGGGAAAATGGACATGTGCAGAGTTTTGAGTCCTGTCCACCTCCCTTGTCTGTCTTTTTTCTAACATCCCAGTTCCCAGCTGCTACTTCTATTGATTTGGGAGAAACTTATCAGATGAATTAATTCTTACTATGGTATTAGTGGCTAAAAAATGAATCATCCTCTTTTCATACCTATAGTTTATGTTTGATATGAATGCCCATAGGAATCTCCTTATTTTTAAATATAACATACAATTTTATCATGAAGTAGAGTTAAGAATAATTGGAAAAATGAAGAAACCTCACACCAGATCTTTAAAGATTCTGTGAATGTAGGGCTACCATATGAAGCTAGTTTTGCACTTCCAGCTTAAGTTAGTCCCATGGGAGGAAAGTTCTGAGCCTTTATGTGAATATCGTTTCACAGACCTGAGTAATCCCTAAAAGAAAGCATTTTCTAGAAAGAAGTGTTCTTTTGGTAGTAGAATTTGAGTACTTGGATTTCATTCTAAAGTTAGGAATTTAACAGCACTTAATTTTTTTGCTCTGATTATTATTACTTAATTGCCTTGAGATTTTCCCTTGTTTTTATCTTTGAGAACCAAGTCACCAATATTGTTAAAGTGAAGATATTCTGAATTCAACTCATACTTGCTGAAGCTGTTTCTATATTAGCTTAGTCACATTTTAAGGTCTTGGAAGGGAAGGACAGTTTCTATTCAAGGTTGTTATTTGCCCTGGAGAAATTATCAGAATATGATCTCTGTACAGAAAAACACGATTACTTCAGTAATTTTTAAAGGTGGCTTGTAGAAACCGTTGACATAGTAAGTATATCATGGTATCAGTAAAAGAGATCCTTGATCGGGTCTAGGAAATTCTAGGGTCTGCTTCATATGTTAGGCTTAGCATAGAGTGTAGTGTGGTAATGTAATTTTTTTTTACTTTAAAGGAGTAGTTTGAGAAATTGTCCTTTGGGACTTGGGGTATTAAAAATTGACTTTTTCCATATATTCCTTTATAACCATGAATTTTTTCCAGAAAAATGTAGTATTAACTTTCTATTGAAGTTTGCTCTTTTTGGATAAAGTTCAGCTTAATATAAATGGTCACTTCTTTATGCGTCCATTCGTCAGGACTTTTTGGTATTAAAATTTCTCTAAAATATATTTCTTTATAACAATTCCCTCGTTTTCAGAAACATTCTTTAACAATATGATGTTGATGTTTGCTATCCTGGGATATGTTTTTCCTAATTGAGGTCAACTTGACAAACGTTTATTTAACTCTGGTTGTGTCAAGTCCTGTGCTAAGCCGGCCTGGGAACAAAGCCGGAGGGGATGCCGCTCTGGCCCTGAGAGAGGCCTGCCCAGGCGGGTCTGTAGTTACGTGGGACTTCACTACTGCAGAACCAGTGAACACACAGAATTAGGGTCAGGAAAATTCAGTCCACTCTGTTGAAAATTTCATTTATTTTAGAAAGGAAAGGAAAAATAAATGAGTTCGAGTGTAATTTAGTTCGCTTTGATTATTACTAATGCTTTTTACCTTACGTATAACTATATACTAATGTATATGGGTATTTAGTTTTTTTAAAAGATAATTTTTTAAAAGAAATTTGGGCAGTTTTTCTAACTTTTAAGCTAAATGTCAAAAGGATACTGTTGGCTGCAAGAAACTTAGGTCGTTTATTCAGAGTTTATCCATTTTGACACCTTTTATTGAAATTATTTTTTGTTTTCATCATAGGTGTTTCTCATGTTTGTGTTTGAACTTAGTAACTTTTTCTTGATTTCAAGCCAGTGATGACTATTAGTTTATTTATGTCAGATTCACATCTTCAGCTCTGTTCTATACATTGTTTCAAGTGTATGGAACAGCACTGTGTTCAATAGAATTTCTGCAGTGATGAAAATGTAGCTACTGAGCACTTCCAATGTGACTAGTACAGCTGAAAAATTGAATTTAAAATTTAAAATTTTTATTTAATTTTAATTAATCCAACTTTAAATTGAAATAGTCTGGTGTGGCTAGTAGTTACTGTGCAGATGTTGCTCTAAGCAATCTAGGTAATATTTAGTCCTCAAAACAACCCTTTAAGGTTTGTGCTATTATCTTCATTTTTATTGATGAAAAAACTAAAGCCCAGAAGATGAATTGAGCCACGTAAGTTTATATGAATAGTAAGTAGCAGAGCTGCAATTTATATCCAGAAGTCTGGCTCTGTTCTTTGCTTTGAACTGCAGGCAGGTCGTGCTGTGTATGTGGTTTTGATAGGCACAGGTTTCAGTCACTGTGGTTCAGTTCATAACAGCTGTCCCCTAGCAACACCACACAGGACTGCAGTTCCCACAGGCACTCACCACAGCTGCATAAAGCACAGTTTTCCTCCAGCTCTTTCATTCACAGGACACTATGTAAATGACAGGTGCTCTAGATGAGCAGCCACACTGCCCCCTTCAAGGCCACCAGAGACGGTCACTGTGCATCTGTTACCAGCTCTCAGCAGACAGCAAAGCATGCAGTTGTGCTGCCTCCTTATCTCCCAGTGATAAACCCTACTGACGTTTTACAAAAATGGATGATAGGGAAGGGATTGGCCAATAAGGATGAAAGTGCATCAAAAATCAAAAAGCTCTAACACTGAAAGTGAAATGCAGATCGAGCAAGTGGAGAGTGACAGAAGGAATCGGTGACTGTGGGGATGTGGGCCTGTGCCATTGGAGACTCAAGTAATTCGGTGGAGGGGAGCTTACCAACATAGGTGAAGAAGAGTGAGGAAAAGCATGAGGTTGTCCCAAAGGAAGTAATGCTCAGAGAGCCTCAGAGATGTTTCGTGATGTGGACAGTGGAAAGGAAAAAATGTCAGAAGTTGATTCACACTTAAAAAGGAGCAGGGTAATCTGTTAAATTTGTAAACTTTACAACAAAAAATAAGGTAAACTTTATAACATACTGTAAACTTTACAACAAAAAATAAGGTAAACACTACTGATAAGTTTAGAAATATAACTAATTTTAAATGTTTCTGATGTTTTTTTGTTTCTGATGTTTTAAATTATATATTACATATTAGTTATACTTTAAAAATGTTATTCATTCATAACCAACAATAAGTGAGTTTTTAATGTTTCAGCAGAATTTTTGGGTATCACAGAACAAATGTAATTTTCCCATTGATTGTTAGATCGTCATGCTGGGTTTTAGCTTGCACAGCCATTATCACAGTCTTGCATGCTGTGCAAAGCAAGGCCTGCCCATGGGGTGTTGTACTACCTCTCTTAGTGGTAAGAATACTGATCATTGATTCAGAGAGCAATTATTAGTCCTTCCTCTGTAAGCGTTTATTGAGCACATGTTTGTTTTATCCTAGGGATAGAAAAATAAAATTTGTGCTTTACTTCTACAGATTACAACCGAATCAAAATTCAGACACATATTCAGGTGATCAAATGATGGTGTGATAATTCTGCTCTGGTGGGAGTCCTCAGGTGTGGCTAGAGCCCACAAAAGGGGCAGCAAGCCAAAAAGTTGAGTGCAGAGAATACCATGGGAGGGTTCCAGGAGCCCTAAGAGAGAAGCAGGAAGTAGACAAGCAGAGGTTGGCGGTGGGCAGCTGAGTGGAGGGATGCAGGTGCGTCCCACCAGGGCCGTCGTGTGACAGGGAAGCACTGAGTCCTGAGAGGAGATGGGCTGCCACCCAGGAAGCAGGGGCCAGTGTGGCTGTGTGCAGATAGAGGTGCGACCGCAGGTAGACGGGATCTGCCCATGACCAACTCGCTGTGTGGTAGTGTGGAATCTGTCTTTATCCTGAAGCCATTGAAGGAGCTTAAATAAGGAACAACGGGAGATTTTTAAAGAGTTATCTGCCATCTGTAGAGAGAATGGATGAGAAGGGAGTACGCCGGAGTCAAGAAGAGAGAGCAACCAGAAGTGGATGGTGGTCCTGTTAAGCCATGTAAGCTGTAACATGTGTAGCAATGGAATCAAGTAATGTAAGGGTGACATGGCTGCTAGTGAAGGTAGAGAGAGTGGCAGGTGAGAAAGGTTAAGGGGCAGGGAAGGTTTGATATGTGACATAAGGAAAAGGAAGTAGTCACCGGTCACTTCCAGATGTCTGGCCTCAGATGGATGAAGGAGCATGTTTGGGGCATGAGGAGAGGCATAGAGATGAGAACATTCAGTTCAACTTACAGCATGTTGAATTTGAGATTCCTGAGGGTCATGCTGACAGAGATCTTGCCTGTGTGACTGTCACTATGTCCCCACTGTGTCACACTGGGCAAGTTGAATGACCTCTGTATCTCAGTTGCACGCAACATAAAACTGGGGTAAAAACAGTGCCTGCCTTACAGGGACATAAGCATGTGCAGGTGAATTAACACACATGACGGTTTTAGAACCACCCTAGCATAACATCAGTACTCCATATCATTATTAGCTGTCATTAGTGTATATTTAGTGACAATATTTTTAAAGATTGGTTTTAAGTTCGCAGACACGTCTTGAAACAGATTTGGGAGTCACCAGCATAAAGATGGTAGTTGAACAAACAGGATTGAATGGTTTAACCCAAGTACTATGTGCAAAATGAAAGAAGAAAGCTAAGGGTTTGGAAGACTAGGGAATATCCAGAAGAGCCAGGATGTGGAAAAGAAACTGACATTTACTCAGTGGCTGCCTGGCAAATATTTCACAACAGGCATTCAAAACAATGAAAGAAAGAAAAGAAGGAAAGAAAATTAATCCTAACGTTAGCATTTCCCAACCACCAAGGTGTAAATACTCCCATTGGGGTTGGTTTCAAGCTGCCAACTCAACTTGAATGTGAAGAGATGCTGACTGTTGCACTTGAGAGGTGTATGTGCTGACGTCAGCTCTTTCCTCATTTCCAGTTCCGTATACTCCACACAGAGTATCAGGCATGGTACTGTTAACGATACTGTCCATGAAGCATTGTTATGGTATAGCCAGCAGCTATCTAGTAATTTTCTGGTCTGTTGAAATTGAGGTAGTTAGGTCTCTTTGTAGTCCTGGTTTTGCTGTGAGTTTGTACATTTTAGAGTTACCCTAATTTTCCAGGAGCACTAATGTTTCATTACCTAATCTCATTAAACTTGCTTATTCCTGGGATAGATTGTGCTATGGTGGGTGGAGCAGCTGGTGAGGGGGTGTTACTTCTATCCTGCCTCTGACCTCCCCAGTTCCCATCAAGAGGAGAGCACAGATTAGAAGTCACTTCTGTGATTTGTCTCAAGTGTCAGTACCAAGGAAGGGACCAAATGGTCACTTTGAAATAAGAGAAAGCATAATATTTACTTTAAATAAACATGCTTGAAATTAGAAGACACCATTAGAATTACAGGATTAGGTTTTCTAGACGACCGGAGTTCCTGCACATATAAAAATGTTTTTTCCATTGTTCTAGGATGTAAGATCATTGGGCAGGTATGAGTTCCACTGATTGATGTGTAATGCTACCTGGACTTTCCATCTTGTACTGTAGGAAAATTACCTGACTACACTGGCGGCAGCCACACTGTTTTAATAACAGCATTGCTGTTAGTTCTTGCAGTTCCTGTGTGACTGAGACAGTGAGAGTCATTGTCCAAGCTCACTAGTGTTGGAGATCATCTTTGGGTGATGAGAAAGGACCAATTTCCAGACCTTGGTGTGGCCAAGGCTGGCGAATGTAGATGAAGTTTTGTTCTGTAGCCTATGAGGCCAAAGTCATAGCCATCCACTCCAGTTAGACTTGTTCCAGGTTGTACATTAATATTCAGACCCCACCAGCTTCCTTAAAATTGGGTGTTCTTGGTGTGAGAATGTGTGTGGATTAGCACATGGGGATTTTTACAGGATGACCTTTATTGACGCCTTCTTGGTGGCATTATCTGTGACATCAGCCTCACATACGAAGAGCATCCCTTTTCTTTAATAGATTTATTTTCTTATTAGTAGCCCTAGAGAAGAAAGACATAAAATGCATTTTGTGAGCTGCTGGTGATTTTTGTCTATTTGCACAAATGTTGGTTTCACTGCTCTCATGTATTTTATTACTGAATATATTATCTAATAATCAGAATTAGGAACTTTTATTGTGAATTTACAACAGAATAATAATGTATAGACAGATGTTATCTCTAAAAATTATAATCTCATAACATAATTTCTCAAGTATTTGCATAAATTAAAATTCTCCACATATAAGTACATATATTTTGGCATACATAAACTTGAAATTTTATAGTTTTAATTTCTGCATATAAATTTTTCTATATGTCTATATTTTATTTACCTATAAGTAGGTTTTCTTGCTGTGCTTGTTTTCATACTTTTCAGAGGAGTTAAAATTAATAGTTGATAACGTTTTACCCCTTTAAAAATAAAAGGAGAAAAACCTAATTTTGAACTCACTTACTTTTTGCCCCAAATTTCATTATACTAAAGACAAGTAAAAAATTAAAAAAAAAAAAGTTGCTTGGTTATTTAACATCCAAACCTAACATATAAGTAATTAACCTTTCAAAAATATTCAGTCCCCTTTACATATCTATTCATTTATGAGCCTCAATTCATGAAGTTTTTGTTTTTTAAATGATAAATACTTGAAAATAATTTTCTTTGACGAAAAAATGTTTTAACTCTAATCAGATTTCAAATATTAATTTAGCCTCCATTATGTGGTGTGGTGGCAAGAAGGGAATATATTTTTTCTCATCTTATAATAGAAATGTAATATTCTACATTAAATAGCGTGTGGTGAAAACAGTTATCTTGACAAAGCAAAGTTTTTATATCAGGCCTTTAAAATTTCAACAGAATTTAAACATTATTTAGATAAAACAATCATGTTACAAAGACGACTTTTAACAGGATCAGGCCACCCACAGTGTGCACTAGAGAATATGGCATGCGAGCCACCCAGTGAGACTGAGGCAATTTTTTCATCTTTGCTTAAAGTATAGTCACTAGACCAGATAATGTAGAAACTTTTTACAAGCAGTGATCAAACAACTGAAAACAGTTTATCTTTTTTCTCTCCTTTCGTTGTGACTAATTAAAACTAATTCACAAGTTACAAAACTATTTTTGTACACAGCAAATTTTGACTTAGATAAAGGTACTCTTTCATTACAGTGATTCATATAGTTTGGGGTCTTCTGGGTAAAAATAAAAAAGACTTAGGAAATGTGCAGTTCATGTACACTTTTATAAGAATTAGCTGATTGAAGAAACATTCATGATGCTGCCTTGACGTTTATTATTTGTAAATTACTTACGTAATTTTCTTTGCTTGCTATGTAGAGATAATTCTGCCAAAAAATAGAATTAGTTTTAAATATTTCTTTTGTGCAACTTTTCTGAGAATGATTTTTCTTGTTTTGTTTATTATCCCATATGCAGATACTGAGTCCACAGAATTTAGCTCATGTACATGTGTATGCACACACATGGATATCTGTGTGTTTTTCTCCATTGTATAAAGTTCTGAATAACCTAGGAGCCCACAATTGCTACAAAATTTAGAAGACTAATGAAAATAAATGTAGGTTCACATTAGAAAATTTATTTGGGCATGGTAAATATGTTTGTTTTTATATTGGATACCATTCTTAACATATGAAAAGACTTAGGCAAAATGGAAATTTTATTTTAGCAAACCATAAAAGATCTCCGATATAGCTAACCTTAAAAACCTTCTATTGAGTTTTAATGTAAAGCTATACTAACAGTCTTAACATTTTGTTTCTAGTGCCCAGTTACACATTTTCTGATTAAAATCAGCTTTCTTCTAAGTCTCCTTTCCTCCCTTTAAAACAGGAGCAAGTAATACTGCGGACACATTGTTTCAAGAAGTATTAGGTCGGAAAGACAAGGCAGATTCCACTAGAAATGCACTCAATGTGCTTCAGCGATTTAAGTTTCTTTTCAACCTTCCTCTAAATATTGAAAGGAATATTCAAAAGGTAGAGTCCATATTTATTTATGTATAGATGTTATAGATGTCATATATTTTTAAGATTTTTAAAAATGTTTTTTATATTAACCCAATGTCTCCATTTTGCATTACTGACAGTTTTCAAAATGTTTCTTTATTTTAAAGGGTGATTATGATGTGGTTATTAATGATTATGAAAAGGCCAAGTCACTATTTGGGAAAACGGAGGTGCAAGTTTTCAAGAAATGTAAGATTTGTTTATTACTTTTAGATTTTCTACTTTCCTTTTATAGGAAGAATGTGGAATGTGTTCCGCAAAGAATGTTATATGAGTTTTAGTTTTTGTTTATATGGGGCTCTTTTTTAAATACAAAACAATTACTTCAGAAATAACAGTATGACTTTCCTTGTTTGATATGTAGTGAAAATGAACAACCACAATGATAGATTAGTCTGGGGCGTTCTTTGCCATTTGTTAGTCGTAATGCTATTAAAAAGTCTTAGTTTACTGGAAAGAATCAATGACAAGTATTTTGTAGAGATGGAAACCTACATTTTAATCTTCCGTCTTCAGAGAGACCAACAGACTTATGAATTCTAACCACATTTAAAGGAAACCCAACAACTTTTGAAATTATTTTTAATGCCAGAGTTACAGAAAAATATAAAAGTTTAAAATGCTCTTTGGTTAAAGCCTTATCTACCAGGAGAAATATCACAGGGCCTTATTAAATTTAAAAATGAAATCTGTAAGGTCAGAAAACTATTTTTTTTTTTTTTATTGTGGTCAAATGTACATTCAGTGAAATGTTACCTGTTAGAGGTCCGTGAGTTGCGACAAATGCATACACCCTTGTAACCTACGCCGGAGATAGTGTTCTGATCATTCTAGGCAGGGCCCTGATGCCTCTATCTTAATCTGCCTCCACCCCACAAAAGCAACTACTATTCTGCTTTCTGAAATTTGATTTTAAATTTCCATTCTGTAAATCTTGCATATTCTTTTCTTTTTAAATAGATTATGCTGAAGTAGAAACAAGGATTGAAGCTTTAAGAGAATTACTTCTGGATAAATTGCTTGAGACACCATCAACCTTACATGACCAAAAACGTTACATAAGGTAAATCATCTGCAAAAATTTTGTGGAATCACGTATATCTCTTTGGTACTGGATGTATCATGTAACCCTTAAGGCTTATTTGAGGGACCTTAGGAGATTGATGAACTGGTGAAGGTAAAGACAAATAGCAGAAATTTAGGGGTACCTGGAATAGGATACCAAAATTCTTCTGAATTCTAATGGCCTTGGGAATAGTTATGGAGTTACTTTTTAAGAAAACTGCCATTTGGGGGAAAGGAAAAGTAGCCTCATTGCTTAGTTACCTCTTCCTCCTGCTGAGCAAGGGTTACCTCACCTAGTGGGATGGTATGGGTACCCACATTCTGTGAAATAGGGGCTCCCTGTGTGGCTTAAAGCAGAATACTGTCACACACTGGATAGGAAATGCATTATGCCACAAGAACGCGTTGTTGTTTAGAGTAAGTCCTGCAAGGTTTTAGCCTTGAATAGCTGTTTGATTTCCAAGCCTTCAGTGTCAGTGATAGAGAAATAAAAGTCGCTAAGCGAGCATACTTAAAAAAAGAAATTACAGTAATGTTAAGAGGATATTTCACAGGATATGAAGAGAAGGACTTAGAGAAAACTGGTATACATTATGGGACTAGCTGTTAACTTTGGGCAACTAACTTGAGTTCTGTTTTTTAGTTTCTTCATCTATAAAATTGACATGGTAATCAAATATGCGTCTCAGGATAGTTGCAAAGATAATCAGAAATACATTTAAGCATTTAATACAGTACCCAGCACATAAAATGTCGTCAGTAAATTTTATATGCATGTAGTTTATGTCAGGATTTGGAGACAAAGCATATAAAGTTTAGGTTTTTTATATCTGTATTACAAATATTAATTTCATTTTCTGCTGGGATTTTTTGAGTATGGCCTTTGTTCTCAGAACAAGTTATTTTACAAATTTAATGGTTTTCCTATTGAATTCGTGAAGTTTATTGAATATTCAGTGGTTATAAAATGATAGACAATATATTTATGAATTTAGCTGTGGTCCCCATGTGACCTTTGAAAATAATGTCTCAGGAACTGGCACGGTGGCTCACACCTGTGATTCCATCACTTTGGGAGGCCAAGGCAGAAGGATTGCTTGAGTCTAAGAGTCTGCAAACCAGGAAAATCTAGACTAGCCTGGGCAACATAGTGAAACCTTGTCTCTACAAAACATCAAAAATTAACCAGATGTGGGGATGCATGCCTGTTGTCCCAGCTACTCAGGAGACTGAGGCAGTAGGATCTCTTGAGCCCAGGGGTTTGAGGCTGCAGTGAGGTGTGATCATGCCACTGCACTAGAGTCTGGGTGACAGCAAGATCCTGTCTCTGAAAAGAAAAGACTGTCTTGGAGAGAGGATTTGGCCTGAAAGCTGCTGTGTGTGCAGTTGTGAACAGGGAAAGGATCTATAAGGCGTACAGCAGGAGTATGAGCCGTCGTCACTGGCAGCACACTAGTATTGCCCAGGAGGAAGCAAGCAGAGGCACTGGCAGTGGGATAAAGAGAGGGCTGTGTGATTGCGTGCTGCCACCTCTGCACGTGTGCTGCGAGCTCAGGCACTGGGCAGGATGTGTTCTGCAAGTCCTCTCTAATCCTGATCACCACCATGAAAGGATGCTTGTGTGGTGCCCATTGTACAGGTGAAGACGCTGAAGCTTGCCCAGCACACACAGTGACAAGGAGGCTTGTTTGTGTGGCTTTAGAGCCTACCTTTGCTTCTCTGTAAGCTGCCTCCATAAGAAAGAATGTGGATGGGGGATTTTCCTGGTTTGCAGACTCCTAGAAATTTAAACCTGGAAATAAACCACACTTTAGTTATCCAACTGCATCATTTCTACCTAGAAAGCTACGGAGTTCCAGGGAGGTTGAGCGTTGTGTCCAGGACATGCAGCTGGGTAGTGTCAGACGTCCTGAGGCTGCTGTTTTCCGCTTTGCTCCTTCACTGTGTATGCTTTTGTGTATTTGTCACCGGTTTACACTTGTTATTTTAAACCTGCCCAGTAATGTGTTAAATATTATTGAATGTGCAAATTCTTTATGTTGTGAGTTACCGTCTATGGGGATAACTCATGTGTAGTTGTTATGACTATTTAACTTACTGGATATCCTTTAAAAGGTGGTGGTGGCAAAAAAGATTCTTTTAAGTAGCCTTTTAACTGCCTTTTCTCATGTCATCTTAAAGGCAAAAGAGCAGAAATATAAACAAGTCAACAATAGTTTTATGTATTTTTTAATGGTTGTTTTATTTATGATGCTTTGAGAAGACACTGAGCAATTGTTACCTTTTTTAAATTAAATTTTTAGTCACTAAGAAATAGAATAAGATGAGAACTGGGCCAAATATCTGTTGGACTTTGACATTTATGAACACCAGGTAGGACTAGAGATAGCTTTATCATGAACAAAAATGTATTAGTTTTCTTATATAGTCCAAGTTATGCATGGTAGAAGTGAAAATCAGATTACCAATATATTGTCTTACTATTGTTCACGATTTTTTCTAGTATTGTTGAGTATTTTATCTAATTTCAACCGTCCCGGTTCTCTTTCCTCTCCTTATTCTGTCTTGATGCTGACAGGAAGCAAAACTCTGCATATTTCTTTCCATAGCGGTGTGATCTTATCCTAATATGACAAAAATTTCCTTAATTTTTAAATTTTAAAACACTGAGCCTGTGTTCATCATAATCAACATTCTTTACATTGCTTTTTAATCTAAAAAGCCTTTAAAAAAGTGTTCTTAATATGCAGTTTTAAAAGAAATGGCAATAACATGTATCATATTCTAAACAAAGAGCTTTGAAATGAAACTGCTTATTTTTAGCTGCATACCAAAAGAAAACAAGAAACTTATTTGAAGAGCCTAGCACAAGTTGTCATACTTTGAACTGAGTCTAGAATTTCTAAGAGAACAACTTTATCTTGCTTTGTAAAACTCTTATAAACTCCTTTACGTTAATAACCATTAATAAAATAATAGAAAAAAGTCTTTTGTTACTAATTTTGTAAGGACACAGTCAACATTTAAAAGAGGTGTATAATGTTAAAGGTTACTAAGCAAAGCTTATTGATTCCTCTTGCTGTATTCTGGAGAAAGAACCCTTGTAATGCATAGTCTATGTCCCTATTCAATAACTTAAACATTAAAAGGAACAGCATCCCTAAAGGAATGTCCCTATATTTTATTACTAATACCGAATCTGCGGGCTGCGGGAGTGAAAGTGTTAGGTGAAAGCATAGCAGAGGTGTTGGGAGGCAGAACAAGCCTGTTAAGGGAGAACGCTGAAATGCATTATCCGCAGCAAGAAAGCATAGAATCACGTTCTTTGGGAATAAATGACACAACATATTCTTTGTTATATTTATCATTCAGGTAATAAAAGAGGAAAGCCTTGTGTGAGAGAGAGAATCAGATTGGATTTTGGAATCTGAAATGAATCCCCTATGCCAGGCCAAATGTCACTTATTACATTGTAGTTTTCTTCTCGTTTATGAGGAGGAGTCCTGGGTGACTTCTTAATCTGAGTAAAGCTCTTCCTTCTAGTTGACCTGCCGCTTTCTCAGCACAGAGACACATCCTGAGGAGATGGCAGCTCTCGGCCACCTCTGGGCAGCCTGAGTGTGTCCCCTCCGCAGATGCCTGAACACCTGGCTCTCCACAGCACCCAGGCCCTCCCCATCAGCTAGGAAGGTCAGGGTCCATGGGGATAGCTCGTAAGTGTGATGTCAGTGTTCTCAGCATTTTATTTGTTGCTAACATATTACAAAGTGGATTTGTTTCTCCTCTGATTGGCTGCTGATTGAGATATCTGAGTAGCACATCTTGCTACTGGTAGAATGGGCTGGAAGCATGGGCGCACCCCTGAGAAATTGAGGTCTGGCTCGAGGTCAGCTTGGAGCTATTGATGACGATTTACCACTGAACAAAAACCTCTAACCCAGAGACAAGGGACAGAATATGGCTTAACAACAGTTTTAAGACAGTAAATTCATTTGGACATGCTTTTGGAGTTGATTTAATTGGATTTAGCTTGCTACATTTATATATTTTTGTGAGGGCTGATGGCCAAATCTTAAATAATATTTGACAGAAATTTTTCAATTGAAATATATTCAAATGGTCTCTGTGGGTTTGGGTGTATTATATACAAATAGTCGAAATATTTTAAGAACTATTTAGAAACTAAGAAAAACACTGAACTATACTATATTTTCTAGAGAAATATTCTCTTAGTCATAAGTGTAGACTTTAGAGGTGAGTGTTGTCACCAAATCTCTTCACAGTTCAGTTAACCCTCATTTAGCTTTAGAAAGCAGTGCTTTACTGCCATCTCGTGGCCATATTTCACATTAGAAAGGAATTTAAAAACTGAATTTTCCAAAGTTTTTGCCCAGCATTTGCTGGCTCCCACCTGTGTTTAATATGACTCTGAACTAAGCACAAGAACTCTGTGAACTAAACATAAATATAAAGAAAAGTGCTCATCAGGTAGATAGAATCACTACAAATTGTCCTTGTCTTTTTACAAAGCGCTGATAGTTTTAATAGTTTTATCATTTATTAATTATATGAAAAGTTATTTTTAAGCTCTACTCTTTTTTTAAAAAAATTGTTTGTTTGTTTGTTTCTTTTGAGATGGCATCTTTCTTTGTCGCCCAGGTTGGAATGAAATTGTGAGATCTCAGCTCACTGCAACTTCTGCCTCCTGGATTCAAGCAATTCTGCCTCAGCCGCCCAAGTAGCTGGGTTTACTGGTACACACCAATACACCCGGCTAATTTTTGTATTTTTAGTAGAGATGAGGTTTTACCATGTTGGCCAGGCTGGTCTCGAACTCCTGACCTCAGGTGATCCACCCACCTCAGCTTCCCAAAGTGCTGGGATTACAGGCAGGAGCCACCTCACCCAGCCAAGAAATTCGAATATACTTAATTGAGAACTAAATATTAAAGACTAATATTTGACAGAGGACAAGACTAATTGATACAATTTTGGCTAGCCTTTAAAAAGTAATGATTGTAAAATATCCTAGCGTTTCCCTTTGGCCTCATTTCTAAGTGATGAAGCCTGCTTGCTCAACCTTGGACTTGCTTTTTCAGGTACTTGTCTGACCTTCATGCCCCTGGTGACCCTGCATGGCAATGCATTGGAGCCCAACACAAGTGGATCCTTCAGCTCATGCACAATTGCAAAGAGGGCTACGTGAAAGACCTAAAAGGCAAGGATTTCTCTTCCATTGTATTATGTGATTCCTTCATGTCATTTTAATACATTTTGGGAATGTTTAATGATGAAGGGAATGACTACCTAACTTTCTTGGTATCTGTTTTTTTGTTTTGTTTTGCGGATTTTTTGGCCACTGGTTAGCATTATGCTAAAGAAAAGGGATGACTCTTTTACTATGTCTGTTTTTGTAGTTGATGGGTAGTGTTGACAGAGGTTTGCATCAGGGAGCAGTTGACATTTCGAGGCAGGCAGCATGATCCTGAGGAAGTGACGTTGGTCTTTGGTAACTGTCAGTCGGGGCATTGTTTCATCAGGAGTATGTTAAGTCCTGCTCTGCACCAGGCACTGCACCCAGTGCTAGTGAGACATAGCCACTGTCTCCCGGAGTTACTACTAGAGGAAGGGAAAGCCGATGAACATGTAATCAACGAAATCAAATACTGGGACAGGTGATGAAAAGAAAAAAAACAGCATGTTCCAAAAGGGAGTAACTCAGGAGAAGGCTGTAGATGGCCGGTATGGGAATGTCTCAGAAAGGCCTCAATATTAGAACTGGAAGGATGAGAAGTAGCTTACTAGCCAGCTCAGCCTGAGAAAGGGACTACCTGTGTAGATCCCTGAGGGAAGCTGGGAGAAAGAAGTCAAAGGGCTATTTGCATGCAGGCTAATTGGCTTTTGTTTGCATACTATCATTTGAAGAATATTGAGTATATTGAATGCCTGCTACGCTTCAGACACCGTTAGGTGCTAAAGTGACAATAGTTAGTACAACAGACAAGGGCCTGGCTCATGCAAGCTCACAACATAGTAGGGGAGACGGGTAACCTGCCAGCTATGTTATGTGCTGCTTCCTATGACTGGGGAAGTTCTGTGTGACATTGGAGTGCTTAGGAGTAGCCTCTGATCCAGGGTTTTGAGGTCAGGGGAGTGACATTCTGAGATATGAAGGAAGTGACATCTCTTGAAATAGAGGAGGAAAGCATTTAAGACTGTTCCAGGAAGAGAGAATATGCACAGCTTTCAAGCATGAGAAGGCCTCAGAATCCTGTGTGGCTGGAACTTAGAGCGTGGAGGTGGAGTGAGGAGCCGAACTTTCTTGGCAACTGTGACAGGTTCGGACTTCATCCCAAGTGTGACAGGAAGTCGTTGACGGATTTTAAGTGAGGGTTGGTGGGGTGGGGGAAGACAAGGTCAGAGTTACTTTTGAAAAGAGGATGACTCTGGCCACCCATGGTAGGTGGCTGAGAGGGAGCAAGCCCAGAGCAGCGAAGCTGGCAAGGAGACAGGCATCCAGCCTTGTGTGCAGGTGGTGGGAGTGTGAAGAAGAGCTTGGACTCCAGGGGCTTTCAGGAAATAGAATTGATAGGACAGAGTGATGGGCAAATGAAGAGGAGGAAGGGATGAGCAGTGATTTCCAGATGCCTGACTGGCAGCCAGTTAGGGTGATGGTGCCATTGAGTTAGGGAACGTAGGGGAGAAAAATGATTCCACCTCTTTGTCTGGACAGCGTGACTTGGGGTTGTCTGACATGTAAGTAGAGAGGGAAGTAGTTGGATTTAGAGACTGAGAGATGAGCATAGTGGGCATATAGGTGGTCCCTGAGAGCTCGTGCATTCACCCAAGATGATGAAAAAAGAAGCAAACCCAGGAAAGAGTCTTGACAACTGATGTTTAAGGGGCTGGTAGAAGAAGAGAAGCCTGCAAAGGAGACAAACAAGGGGCGGTCATGGCGGGAGGGAAACACAGAAGGGAGTGGTCAGCAGAATCGCTAAGACGAAGCAGAAGATGAAAGAGAAGTGTCCTTACAATTGCACTTAGGCTGTTGGGGGTGACCCTGGCAAATGCAGGGTTGGTGGCCTGAGCCCCTAACGGGATGACGTAAGGAGTAGTGGTTCTTATCAGGTCCCTGGAAAGATCAGGGGCTATTACAGGAGAACCATCTTGGCATAGAAGGAAGTACAATGGAGGGTTGCCATTGTTTATTTCTAGCATAGTTTTGTCGTGAATTAGTTGGCTTGGGTTTGCGTACTTTCCAACTGTGATTCTGGTTTTTTCTATGCTTGATATTTAAGAAAACCCAAATATCTCTTTGCTGAGGCCATATCAACATCCCCATTAATGTCATTAATTATTTTATATTTTTAGCAAGTAAAAACAGCAAATGTTACGCACAGTCTGTAGTCTTTGAAATATTTAGAGAGTCTTACATATTTATTTCTCTTTTGATTCAACTAATAGTTTCTGAGTCTACTCTGTTCAACAGAGCTCTCAACCTTGAAGGCCCACTAGAGTCCACTGAGGCTTTTTAACAACCAGTTATCAATTCCTGGCCTTAGCCCCTCCCTCCGTGCCAAGCACATTCTAGTCTCTTGAGGTGGAGTCCAGGCGTAGGCGTTTTCAAGCTCCCAGGAGATTCAGGTGCAGCCAGGGCTGATCACTAGGGTGCTGGATGCTGTGCCAGGAGCAGGAAGTGCAGTGCAAGCCGGCTTCTTGGAGCTTGTGGTCTAGTGAGAGTCACATCATCTAAAAAAATCACATAGATAGTATATGTTCAGTTGGAATTGTGACGAGTGTGAGGAAGTGGGGAGTAAAGAATCTTCTGAAAATGTATGACAGGAGGGTGCAGTCTGGTTGAGGGGAAGTCCAGGGAAGTTTCCTAGAAAAGGTGAAATTTCAGTTGAACCTAAATGACGATAGTTCTCTAGATATCTGTGGAGAAGCGTTCCCGACACTTTGTAGGTGCTCAGCAAATGTCACTGGTCTGCAGCAAAGGTGGCGATGACCACATATTCTTTCTGGAAACAATCTGAATGCATAATTTGTATTAAAACATTTGAATTTCTGGAATATGTGTGTAATTTATGAAGACAACATACGGACTTTTTGAAATTGGAAAAATTCCAGAAAATTTGATATGTCTCATCATATCTTTATCTCATATATCTGATAACCAATATTACATCACCAAAGGTCTGAATATTTCTCAGAGATAGAGGGAAACACACCTTCATCCTTCGTTTCCTGACATCTTAATTTGTTGCTATCTATATTCACTCTAACGGCTTAAAATCAGCATTTTGGAAAAACGAGAAGATGACAAGAGCTTTTATGTAACTCACTTACTCTGAGCAAGCGTGTTACCCACCTTGTCATCACTTGGAAAATAATGGAAAGAATGTACATGAAATGGGAGCAGTGCCTCAGGTGACTTTCATTACATCATCTTTTCATTAGAAAGTGGAAACAATTCCTTGCAACTCTTTGAACTTTACAGTTTTAATGACAATACAACATAAATGTCTTAAATTCATAGGCCATATTTGATTTTTTTTCTTTTGATATTCAGAACATGCTTAACTGTTCTCGCTGTCATTTTCAGCAAACATTGCTGATCTAAATCTCGGTAATTCTAGCACATGAGTCTTTTAACCAGAAAATTGGGGTGGTTTATTGAACTTAGGTCAGAAGCAATTTTCACTATTATATTTTGGAGAATCCCACATGTATTTAAAAGCAGAAAGGATAATGTAACAATACCCCATGTATTCACCCTGACTTCAGCAGTTACTACCTCATAGCCAATCTCATTTTATCAGCTCATAGCCAGTTTTACCTCTTTCTCTCCTCTTCCTCACCCTTGATTATTCTAAAACAGATCACATCGTTTTATCCATAATTGATTCAGTATGTAGTTTTTAGAAATAAGGATTCTTTTTAAAAACTGTAGCCAAAATACTGTTATCATTACCTAAAATATTAATACTTTTCAAATATGAAATACTCCAACACCAAATTCAGAAAGTTTAATTTCTCCCGTATCTTTCTAAGTGCATCAATACTATTCCCTTTGAACTGATAGTCAGTGCATAGGCAAATGATAAATGAAATGTGGCATAGACGAAGACAGAACATTTCCTCGAATGCAAGAAGAATTGCCATTAGTGAAAGAGAATGTGCTTTGCCCAGTTTGCACTTCGGCATTTTTCTGTTTGTGATCATTTCTTTATGTTTGTCATTGCACACATGTTAACTTTAATATATACATATCTACATTTACATCTACGGGCATTGTCATTATATCTATGTATGGGTATGTGTGCATTTGTTTATATAAAATATTTGCCTTAATTAGAAGTTTGCTGGGAATACTCACAAATCTTTTCTGTAATCTATAACTGTTGTTGATGAGCAACCTCGGTGGATGTTTTGTTATTGTCTTAATTATATGTAACATAAATGTAAGGTAATATGGGGAAGGCCTACTAAATAGTATTTGGAATTTCTTTTGAGCATCCCCTCATAATTGTGACATTTTAATTGTGGAAGAAATCTGAGAAACTGTCTAGTTCTGTGGAAGACTTTAGATCTATTTCGCATGTGACAAAGGTGTCTCAGAGAAGCCAGGGGACAGACCTGCATCCTCCATATCCTGCGTAGGAGTGGGACTAGTGGGTGTCCAGATCTCTTCCCCTCTCACCTGATTGCACTTCCTCCAGACCAGTGAGTTACGGAAATAGGTTACTGAACACCTCCCTCTGTGTTACATTGTCGGAGCAAACATTGCATCAGACAGGATTTCTGAATGTGATGTCAGAGCAGATGAGCACTTCCCTGGTATGGTAAGGCTGGCTAGTATTTGGGTATTCATGAAGAGCTGCACCTGAAACTAGCCAAGCTAGATGAAGTGCTTCTGGTCTTTATTACTTTTATACTATTTTGCCATACATGAGTGAATTCTACTAAGGAAATTTTACGTAGACCTCATCACTAACCTCCAAAATCATATGTTCAATGTAAATAAATGCTCTGAGAATGAGCAAGTTAAGAAAATGGAGGTGTGTGAGAGAGCATCCAGTCCCCTAGCAGGGGTCCTGGGAACCATAAGGCTGTTCCTGGGAATGTCCACAGTGCTCCCATCAGAACCAAAGGAACTCATGGCACCTAAGTTGGATGTAAAGCAGCAGAGCTGGTGCCCACAGCGGATGCTACCTC